TCAAATCAAACTCAGCTTCTTCTATGCAACGCTAGAGTCTGCTCTCCTCTATGGCAGTGAATGCTGGACCCTGAAGCCAACCCTGCAAAAGTCTCTAGACGGATGCTACACCAGAATGTTGCGAGCAGTATTTAACATCAGCAAGAGTGTATATTTAACAAAAAACATCCTGTACGAGGGAATACCAAGGGTGAGCGAGAAAATTGCAGCCAGGAGAATGAGACTAGCAGGACATTGCCAAAGGCATCAAGAGCTGCCAGCCGGCAAATTGGTGCTGTGGGAACCAACACACGGGCATCGGTCACGAGGACGTCCCGCACAAACATACGTGGACATACTCAAGAACGACGCAGGAGCACAAAGTACCAATGAACTGGCCAGATGTATGGAGAACCGGGATGACTGGAAGCGACGATGGAGGTCTCGTCTGAGGATGACCTAGAGAGATCACGGCCCCGCCAGTAAAATTAGTCTAGAACCACCACTGCAGCTACTTCTATTCCGACTGCCTCAATGTATTATATGTTATTGTCTCCGTTCTCCCCCAAGAAACCCCTCTGGGACGTAAGACTGAACGGTGATTGAATGTGTGAATGTTAATTTCTGCCTCTGTATGAATGGGTGACAGCGGGTGAATGCTGACTTGTTTATGTAAAACGTTTTGAGGGCTCATAAAATACTGTAAAAACACTGTGTAAAATGCAGCTCTTTTTAATTGTGTTGTATCTATCTGCTTATTTAATTAACAGATGCATTTTTCTCAGAATGTAAACCTCATATTTTTATATAAAGTATAGGTAAGTAAAAAACAACAAAGAAAGATAGAAGAAAAATCTAAAATACAACTGAACAAAACATATTAAGCTGATTACAAAGCAATGACTCGGTTCATATTTCGCCATGGGTCGTATTTTGATTGTAAAACAAATAAAGAAAGACAGGATATTTGGGTTTAATTAGTTCAAAATGTATTCTCCCTGTTATTAAACCCCTGTCGGGACATCAGCTTAATATGAATTGTATTTCTTTTGAGGATAAAACCATTATTTCCAAACTTTTCATCAGTGTAGCTTTCAGCATTGTTTAAAGCATGTGTGTTGGACAGTCAGCTTTCCGTGTCCCATCTCTGGGTTTTTTCCATTATCTTACTGTATGTAAATGTCCTGTCATAACTGAGATGGACTTCTCCTTTGGATCAATGGTCGCGAAAGAGATCATAATATGTCGTGTTGTATATTCAAATGCTGGCAGTAAATTAGCTACATATTAAACATCTATTGGGAGAAGTCTAAACCAGTACGACGCGGAGAGTGAAGCGAGGAGAGAAGAAACCAGCGTAAGTTTAACCTCTGTTATGTCATACATGCGTTTAACATTTTAAAAGGAGTAAACATTATATTGTGAATGTATATTTTTTCCTTCAGTATTTCTAATTTCGAATATTATACTTTCTTATCATTTAATTCTCTATAGCTTTCACGAAGGGTGTACACAGTTACAGAAACTCGTTATAATAAATGTTTAGGTTGCCATACCCTTGTGTGGCAGGCATTGACTGATTCACACTTGCGTTTTGTAACTGGTTCCTCTCATTTTATATATCGCATGTGTGGGGGAAACTTCTGTTGCCACGTCAATTCTGAAGAACTCTACCCCAGACCCATGTATTTAGCTAGTTCAGAGAGAATAATCAACATTGTGCATTACAAGATAGAATCATAACACCCCTATCAGCTGATGCTAACAGGCAGGAGCAGGGAGACAAAACACTGAGAGCAGAGCAGCCAAGGTTACAGGTGCGTGTGCTCAGTCAGGACAGCATGAACTGATACATTGGAAAATATTCCCCAACAGTGTCTCTCTTTTTATCAATTTTGATAACCTAAAAACCTTAGTCTAATAATATTTTGTTCAATACTTAAATCAATGGAAATCTTCAGATTTGAGTGTGGACTGACACAACATCAATTACATCAATAACAATCACATTAAGAACAACATAATAAGACTGGAACATTCAATTACAATGATTGAGACAGCCTAAACAATTCTCAAAATGTTTAACAATCTGAAAAGGAAAAGTTATGCAAATATTCAAAGACTTTTGTAAAAACCTGGAAAGGAAGGATTAAACATTCTTAAAACTTTTATTCATACATTTGTAATTGCTACAACTGATCTGTACCAACTTAACTCAATTATTTATTCTAGCCATACTTACCTGAACATCTACTTATGGTACTTGGAAAGATTTCTTCTGTGTTTATCTAATGTTGAATATAGAATAGCAATTTCTTTAAACTATACTTATCTAATTTGAGGATCAAATATGCAACATAATTGTTATACGAATTATTATACATATTTGTTTTGGGCCAAAACTCAAATTAATCCAGTACTTGAAACATAATTTTAGGTCTGTCTGTGCATGGGTAATACATTAAAGAGTAGTGTATTTAAGCCGGATTGCTGGATGATTAAGGATATTAACATTATCTGTCATAATGTCAACGTATCATAACTGTGCACATCTTATACTTATTTGATAACTACTACATCCCTTGGTTACTTGAACACGCTACAATATTATTAACCAGTGTCTTAACTTATTAAAATATGATATACGAAATATTTGTATAGGAACAGTTTTAGACGTAGTAATGCTGTAACATATTTCAGCCACTAGGGGGGGCAATGCCCCCCCTGCCCCCCCGCAAAATCCGCCAATGGCTATAAAGTAGATTTTAAAAACGTTTTATAGAATAAAACCACGACAAAGGAGCCTCATTCACTTTACATTGGGGTTGTTTCCGTGGTGCAGACACGTAAATGTAGCAGAGTTTTGACTCCACCACGTACTGCGGTGTTAAGGAGTTGTGAAGTCACGTATTCTGGTGAGACCAGGTTGGTGAAGCCGTTATTCTCATCTGACTGACCCAAGGGTTGGTGCTGGTGTGACAGGGAGAGGCTTCCAAGTGTTTAAAGCAGATGTCATGCTTTCAGTTCATGGCTCAGTGGGGGGAGCAGACCCATGTGAGACGGTATCAATGGCTGTAATGTTCGTGTGCCTCCTGAGTCTTTGGAGGAGGAGGTGCGGCAGTTTGAGGAGCGTCATTCTCTCTGTGAGCAGGAAATGGTGTCCATTCTCGGACCAGACCATTAATGTTATGTAGAGCAGCCATAGCATCTCTGTGACTGCACTCAGCCGGACTTCAGCAGGGCAGAACTGGGTGACTTTTAGTGAAGCCGTCCAAGGCCATAGACAAAATGGAACCACGTACTAACAAAAGGAACACAAGGTCATCAATATCTCTCTTTACCTTTGGCCTGGTTGTAAAACAAATTAGTGGAACAAATGTGGAACACTAATCCATTATCATGTGAAATTTAGAGTTCATTTAAATAATTGTCAAATTGACATTAACATTAGAACTAAAGTCAGTCAAAATTGGACGTGCATGGTTCAGAATCTAATCAATACACAATTTTCCCAGCTCTGTAATGAAAGGGATATCAAGATTAGGTACATCACAGGAGTGTTAAAACACCCAAACATGCATACTTATTCTAGTAGAGATTAGAGGACAGGTCTAATGTTGTGAACCAAATTATCAAGTCAAAGTTGTTTTATTTATTTTATCTTATGTACCCCATTTGATTAAATAATTAATCTTGAAGCACTAATAACTCTAAAAAAGGCAACAACTGTTTTCCCTGTTACATCGTGTAATTAATATTCTTCCCATCAATGGATCCTATATCCACCATGACCTTAACCTGGGGGGTATACTACGAAGCAGGATTTTCGCTTAGCCGGCTAAATTCAGGGAAAACTCCGGCTTTCCGGTCCTACGAAGCTGGTTCTCTTTTTAGCAGGCTAGATCTCCATGGTAACTTATGCTAAGCGGCTAACCTGGTCGGGACCAGGTTAGGTTGCAGGCTAAGAGCTCAACTCAGTGAAAGCACCGCCTGCTGACCAATCAGAGCTCAGTGTGCAGAGTTTAAAGCGATCAAGTCATATTACAGGAGAAAGGAAATACAGAAAAGCTGCCGTCGCAGGAAAGACGGCCGGCAAAAATCACCGACTGTGTGAACGTGAACATTAATAGAATATCACCTCCATCTTCAGAGCAATCTGACTATTATAACATTAGCGTTAAGAAAGCTTACTTAAATATCTGCCACGACATAAGTAACCGGATCAGAGTAACATTAAGTACAGTCCGCGGCATATCACTTCATAATGTATCATATATCTCCTTATCTGAGTCAGCTGAGCCGTATCTGGCCGTGCAACACTCAGTGTCACATACTGTATGCAGAAGTATTATTTTAAGCAACACATTAAGTTGACGAAACACTCGAGACAAATGTAATTAAAGTCAGATCGTGTGTTAGACGGGGCAGTGATATCATAAACCTGTTAATGTACGCATTCAAACACTTGTTCTGTCACCAGCTGTATTCACCTTGCAGGTGCAGCTCTGTGGCTTTGATCCTGGATCAAGCGTTTAAGTCATGGATGTTTAAAGTTTAACTTCTTCATTTTTGACTAGTATTAAAGTTCACTTTTCATTCAGGAAGTATGACGCTGCGCTGTCAGTGCGCTTCTCCATGTTTGTGATTGGTCGAATGCTCCAGATACCACCCCTTTCATGTGAACGCGCACCTAACTAGATAGGACACGGCTGGCTTGAGCGATCCACTTGATAACCAGCGTCGTAGTACAGTTTAGCGACAGCGCGTATGTTTTGGATTAGGCCAACCGGCTAACTCAAACATATCCAGGTTAGGTTGAACCAGCTTCGTAGTATAGGCCCCTGATGTACTTATATGATTCTGTTTTCTTCAAGGTTGTGTCTTCCTGGTCGAATGTACTTATTGTAAGTCGCTTTGGATAAAAGCGTCAGCTAAATGTAATGTAATGTAAGTTGGCGAGGCAAATTAAAGTAAGAAAGAAGCGTTGAAAGAAAGAAGAAAAATATTTGCAGATGTTTTTGTTAAATCATAAAACACACATTTAGTTGTTTATTTACTGTTTATTATTTACAGTTTAATTGTCATTTTATTCATTAGAATTAACAATGTTGTTTTAAGAAAGTGCATTTGAATTCCCTGAACAGCATTTGCTACACAGAGATTACGAAACATGATAATAAATGTAATGATATTTGACTTTTTTACTATTTTACATACATTCATTATGAAGATAGACAACAAACTACCAAGTTGCATCATGGGAAATGTAGGAACTGGTGTTATTTTGTATTTCATTGGTAGTAACAAGGTATGTTAAAGGACTGACTTATACACATATTTTATGTTTCAAAAGGTCATCTAAATAATAATTAAGATGCATTATAACAATAACTATTTAAGTCTTGCTAAACTTTGATTGTATAAACAGCATTTCTGAGCTTGCTAATCACATTTTAAAGGATCATACCAAGGTTTTTCCTCTTGTTTTTACCCTTTACTAAATCTTAAATACACAATATTTATATATATCTTTCATTCACTGTGTAAAAGCTATGGAAATGAGCTTGAAAGTGCTTCAGAGACCTCAAAATCACAGTAATTGCTCACATAATCCTAGTATTAGCCTGGTGATAGTGATGAAGTAATAATACAGATCCATTATTACTACAATTGATTTAAAACTTACTAGACATGATTCTATTTGCAGTATTTCTAAGCTTGTTAAGTAATTGTTAAGGACCACTGGTTTTTTACTAATCTTACATCACTGCTAGCTGCTTTAAGCAAGATGTTCTGTTTATAAAGTACCTTGTTCCTGTTCATTCACTGTATGAAAGCTATGAAAAATAGCTTTGAATGTGCTTCAGAGAACTCCACATCACTGTATTGGGATAGTGATAATCTTCTCCGATACTCTTTGCTGTTTTTACTTCTTCTTCTCTTCCTCCAGGGTCTCCATCACGGTTCTCATGATGGTTGCCACGGCGACGGCTCCGGGGTCAGGCAGCGAGACTCGCTCCGCCGCGATGTAGCTCGCCCGACCCGCCATCGCTGTGAGGTCAAGGGTCGACTCCGCCCCCAAGGACGCTTTCTAGAGAGAGAGAGAGAGGGACGGAAAAAAGACAAGGCATGTAAAAAGTACAAATCAATCTGGTGGCACTGCAGGAAGTCTCTCTTTTTATTTAATAATTAATATGTTCAAAACTAGCTTTCAGAACCAAGTGCAAAGCCAAAAAAAGGCAGAAATAAACAAATAAAGGAATAATAATAAATAAAAATAGGAAATGAGGCTTTCTATGTAAATCATAATCATCTTTTCTACTGAATACATTTTTGTCCCATTCTTATTTTGTATGAACTTAAGGGCCCTTATAAAGGAACGAAGCTCATTATAAAATACACACAACATAGGATTTACTTTCAAATAATTAGATTTGATTTTATAAAATGTAAAAAATAAGAATATTGTTAAACAAAAAGTCATCCTTATCCATACAAAAACTGCTCTAATTACAATGTTGCAATCCAAAAGTATATACATCGTACAATAAAGCTTCAGAATGCAGACATTGGATAATATGTTAGATCAAATGTGAATATAATGTTCCACAAAATTCCCAATCATTAGTTTCTACTTGATTTTGTTGGATGGATACACTAGTAATGGGGAATTTTAAATATGTATTTTTACAGACAGATTTGGGAGAAGGAAGTCTTATAATTAAACATAAATGTGTATGTTACCTTCACAGCATTCTGCAGTACAGCCAGCTGTCCACCGGGTGGAGCTGTTTTCAGCTTCATCAGCTCATCCACAGCAGGACACAAAGCATCCAACTAGCGAGGAGGAAAAGAGATTTAAGAAGCTTTTTAATGACTATCTTGCTGCTGAGGAACGGATAAATAGTATGTCCAGAAAATATGTTTTAAACTAGAAAAGATGCAGAGAAATGAGACGATAACTCACCATCGTTCTGTCTCCAACGTCAGCACCGCCATACCTGAAAAGAGTTACAGATGGTTAATCAATTTGCTTGTTGTTGTTGCTGTTTGACCTATCAATTAACTTTATTGTGGTTGTGTTTATTAATGTATTTAATTACAAACATATTGAACACAAGCTTCTAGAGTGCATGGTGAGTTTTAGTTTGGACAAGAAGTTATTTGTGACGTATACTAAGAGGGTTAAAATCCTTAAAACTGAGAAATAAATGTGTTTTCTCGTGAGAAATGATAACCAAAATAAACTAAAATAAATAATTGACTAACTTCTGACATAACATAACAGTGTCTTCAGTACCACAGAGGTGATTATATAATAAGAATATACATACTTTATTGATGTGAAATTGAAAAAATAATGTGTTACAGCAGCATGTAAACAAGGCATTACTTCTTCATGGCCTGTGTCCCAGCATGCATTGCAGTAGCCCAGGCTGCACCGTTGCTCTGCCCTTCGGTCACATGACCTGCCGCCGCCGTCAGGAACAGACTGTACAACTGTAACACACACACATGAAGAAGAGAGTGTGAGTGAGTGAGTGAGTGAGTGAGTGAGTGAGTGAGTGAGTGTGAGTGAGTGAGTGAGTGAGTGAGTGAGTGAGTGAGTGTGTGTGTGTGTGTGTGTGTGTGTGTGTGTGTGAGAGAGAGAAGTAGAGTGTTTAATTCCAACTTTATGTCAAAATCTGTTAAAATCTAGATTAAAGATTTGATTTATTGATCTGAAATCTGAAAAAACAGTGAAATGAACATTTGAAAACACTTCAACAGTAAAAAGATATACATTTATAGAGTATTATCTATCAAATACACAAAAAAATAAGTTATAGAATACACTTAATACGTCAGTTAGCCTTTTTTTTTGTAGAATATGTTAGAAAACGTACCGCTCCTGAAGACCCGCCCATTTTCTCCTGGACCAATCCAGCGAGGACTGACAACAGTCGCCCAGGGCAACCAGGAACCACATGATCCTGGAGCCACTCCTGAATGGCTGAAAGACCGTTTTAAAACATCTTTATCTCGATTTAAAACACTTGAATGTCATTAAAGCTTCTGTAGATGATGTACCTTTAGCAGCCTGAGCGTGAGTGTTACCGCAATCTCCGTCCCCGGAAGCACGGTCCAACGCATTCAGTTCCTCCTGCTTCTCCAACAGTGTGGTACAAACTTTAACCAACGCTTTACGCATGACGGGACTCAGAGGCCCTGCGGGAAATTAAAAAAGACAGGCTTAGTTAATAAATCATTTATCCAATTACTCCATGTCATCACTGCAGGTTGTTGTTTCAAATGATCATATAATCATTTAAAACATAATAGTCTTATACTCTGATTGCCTTTTACTCTGTTAAATTGTATTTTTAGTCTTGTATGTGTTTAACAGAGACATATGTTAAGGGTTTACATTTCAGGAGGTAAAAAGGAAGTAAAAGGGGGATATGCAAATGTTAAGGACGAGGGGGTTTTATGGTTTAATGATGGGATGTAGGACCAGCTGTTTCCTCTCATGAATATATAGAGAGACTGTAAGCAGAACTTTGATATCCTCTGTTATGCTCTGTTCCTGCATTTGAGATCGATTTCGTATTTTGACTTTCTTTATTACTTTATTAAATATAACAAAAGACAAACTTTGTCCATAAATCATTTATCAGTTTCTCTTAAGATTTTCCTCCAAGGTAACCTTGAATCCTCACCTTCTTTGTGTGTGTGGTCCTGTGGGTGGGGGCTCATCTCTGGAGCTTCTGTGATGAAGCTGCGTCCGCTCACACACACACTGCTGAGGTTCGGCCAGGCGGGGGCGCTGGTCTTAGCATCTATAGGATGTACAGTGTACGACAAAATAACAATAAACCTCACAGACATGGAAACAGAAAATGTACAGGTCAAAAACAAGTTCGATTGAAGCCTGGATATACAAAATAATGAAATTAAAGGCGATTTAAATAAGAAAGTTGGCGTTTTTCATGCAAAACTGGCAGAGAATAGTGTTTACAGCCATGCAAAGTATTCAATATATATATATATATATATATATATATATATATATATATATATATATCCGAATATTTAACAAACTAAGAAGTTTAAAGATATTTTGAATTTAACAAACTGGGATTGACATTTTCCCTATTTGTCATTGTATTAAATAAGTATATATATATATATTCTTATAATTTTAATATTATTAGTAGTATTATTTTATTATTTGTTTTCGGATTTGTCAACTGTTATGTGGTTAATCTTTGTACCTAGATGTGTTTATTTTTGTTATTTATGCTTTGTGTATATGTTCTTAAAATGCAAATTTAAAAAATGAATAATAAAAAGTATATAGAAACTAGTAATTAGTGAAAGCCCAGTGTGTGTGTGTGACCTAGCATTACTATCCTTGTGGGGACCTACATCTGTTTACACAGTCACATGTGGGGACTGGCTTCCCTTATGGGGACAAAATGGAGGTCCCCATGAGGGCAATCCTTAATTTGTGTGTGCGCTCACCAAACAGTCTCAGTGTTTCCTGGTCGACCGTCATCACGGTCAGCGAAACTCCCACCATCTCCAGAGATGTCATAAACGACCCCGACATCACCCTGGCAACCACCACACCGCGACTCTCTGTAACCGTAGAAACACTGGTTATTCAACACATCCTGTATCCATGTTTAGTATTAACGAGAGGTCACAAGGTCAACAAAGGGAATAGAGTGGTGCAGGAATGAGTCCTAAAACCGGGGGAAATTAGCACTTCTTGTATCCACGGTTACCCAGACAGATGATGGTTGCTCTGGTAACAACAGCCATCTCCAGACAGGACAACGCTCCGAGGTTGTTCACACATACCACCACACTGTTGCCTGTGTGGCAGAAGAAGAACAAGGAGTGTGAAAAATAAATGTCAGCATGCATTAAAAGTTTTATTACTTCCGATTTGTATTCCATTTTTTATTTCTATGTAAATACTGTTATATATATATTTTATTATATTTTGTATTATTTTTAATATTTTTCTAGTTCTAGATCTGTGTTTTTAATTTGTATGTATGCACCATGACATCAAGTCAAATTCCTCGTACGTGCCAACTTACCTGGTAATAAACCTGTTTCTGATTCTAAATATCATATTCTATTTACGTGTATATAGACTTTTGCACTATTATTTAATTTAATTGTTGTATTTTATTATATAACTATGTTGCATTGTTGGAGGAGCTTGGGTCAGAAGAATTTCATTGCCATTTTTTACACTGTAGCTTAATTTGAATCAAATACCTGACTTGAGCGGCAGATGTGATTGGCTGTCATTGTTGGTCATGTGATCTATCATGGTCTTCACCACCTCGTCAGCGGACGCCATCTGATTAAGAGGAATTATTAAGACGAATAAGTGAGAATATTAACAGAAAAAGGGTAAAAAGATTCTTATTGTAAGTTGACTCACCTTCGATCTCTTGATTCCAGGCTCACCGTGGATCCCTGAAGATAAAAACAATGAAGTCAACGTTTAGAAATAACAGAGTTTAATACCATTTATCCCTCTTATTTCAGTTTTGACGCTTTATTTCCCAATTTACAATGTGTATGTGATGCCAGCAGGAAAACAGGCTGCATAGGTTACTTCTCAGGTATCGTCCCAACAACTTTGGACAAAACAATTTCATTCAAAGAGATCATTAACTGTGAGTAAAAACTAGCCTACTTTTGCAGTAATTAAAACCTCTTATAACTTAATACGAACTTGTTCACCATGGCCTTTCACCCCTAACCTATCACAGTCCCACTACTTCCACTCCTACTTATTACATTTAAAAACATTTATTTTATTATTTGCCCCTTTTGTTTGTTTGTTTACCATGTAAAGTGGCTTTGGGTCCCTTGAAAGGTGCTATACAAATGTAATCTATTATTATGATTATTTGTAATACACCTAACAGTTTTACACTCTATTTCAAGATGTTAATTAACCTACAGTGGGAGAAAGACATCCAATTGGTACCAACATATTTACTACATTTATATACAGTAAGTAGGGACTATATCCGCAGTGAGCACAATATTTGGTAAAGGCAAAATATGGTAAAAATATTTGAAAAAACAATGGGTAAAATATCAATAATAACAATAATAAAAAATACAATAAAATACAGAAAAATCAATCAATCAATCTTCTTCACATTTCCACGTTTTCTCCTCCTCCATCTCTCCGCCCTTTCCTCACCCAACCCAATCTCCATGTCTCCCGGCGGCAGGTCAAAGGAGGGGAGACAGCCGGGGACACTGCAGGGAGACAGACTCACCCCCAGAGTCCCTGTAACACACACACACACACACACACTTTTATATCCAACATTAAAGAGGAACTTTGTAAACAAAATTTGACTGGCAAGATGGAAACACCACACACACACACATTTTTATTTTTTTATTAAAACATTCTTTCAAAAATATTATAAATATGATTATTAATAATTAGAAAAATACTATTACAATTATTTTGAAATATAATAATTATTGTTGTTATGTATTAATTTGTGTTATTATAATTTGTTTTTTATTATTATTAACTAGTATTTATATACTACTATACATACTTGTATTTTTACAACTCCTAAAACTTTGTAGTTTTTTCTACTTTAAAGGTGGGGTAGGTAAGTTTGAGAAACCGGCTCGAGATACACTTGTCGTTATATTCCATGGAATGCTCTTAACATCCCGATAGCAATGAATATCTGAAGTGCTTTGACAATAAATCCATACAAAAATGTCCTCAGTGGAAGCCGTGGCGCTGTAAAAAGCACGACCAATCATCTGAGCCGGCCCGGCTAAGTAACTGGATGGCCCTACCTGCCTGTCAGCCCTTCCATCTGGGCAGCAAACTTATCTCGTGCCCTCATTGGTCATGGTGCGTGTTCGTGTGTGTTGGAGGAGGGGCTCTGTAAGGAAGTGGCAGATTTCTCCGGCTGTGTATTTTCAAATTCTAGCGCACTCGAGCTGGTTTCTCCAAAATTACCTACCCCACCTTTTCATCCATCCATCCATCTTCTCTTCCGCTTATCCGTGGTCGGGTCGCGGTGGGTAGCAGTTCCAGCAGAGAGCCCCAAACTTTCTTTTCCCTGGCGACATCAGCACCAGCTCTGACTGGGGGATCCCAAGGCGCTCCCAGGCTAGCGAAGAGATATAATCCCTCCACCTGGTCCTAGGTCTACCCCTTGGTCTCTCTTCCCAGCTGGACGTGCCTGGAACACCTCCCTAGGGAGGCGGCCCAGGTGGCATCCTAACTAGGTGCCCGAACCACCTCAACTGGCTCCTTCGACGCGAAGGAGGAGCGGCTCAACTCCGAGTCCCTCCCTGATGACCGAACTTCTCACCTTATCCCTAAGGGAGACACCAGCCACCCTGCGGAGAAAACCCATCTTCGGCCGCTTGTATCCGCGATCTCGTCTTTCGGTCATGAACCCATCCTTCATGACCATAGGTGAGGGTAGGAACGAAAATGGCCCGGAAGACTGAGAGCTTTGCCTTCTGGCTCAGCTCCCTTTTCGTCACAACGGTGCGGTATAAAGCCGACTGCAGTCCCGCGCCCGCTGCTCCGATGTCTCCGGCCCATCTCACGCTCCATTGTTCCATCAGCTCGAGAACAAGACCCCCGAGATACCTTGCACTCCTTCACTTGGGGTAAGGACTCATTCCCTACCTGGAGTGGACAGTCCCATCGGTTTCCTGCTGAGAAACCATGGCCTCAGATTTGGCAGGTGCTGATCCTCATCCCAGCCGCTTCACACCTCGGGTTGCGAACCGATCCAAGTGAGTGCTGAAGGTCGCAGACCGATGAAGCCATTAGAACCCACATCATCTGCAAAAAGCAGTGGTGCAATCCTTAGTCCACCGAACTGCAGACCCCCTCCCCATGACTACACCTCGAAAGATCCGATCCATGTATATTACAAACAGGATTGGTGACAAAGCGCAGCCCTGGCGGAGGCCAACCCTCACCGGAAATGGGTCCGACTTACTGCCGAGGACCCGGACACAGCTCTCGCTTTGGGAGTACAGAGATTGGATGGCCCTGAGTAGAGACCCCCTCACCACCCATACTCCCGCAGCACCTCCCACAGTAACTCCCTGGGGAACTTCGGTCATACGCCTTCTCCAAGTCTACAAAACACATGTAGACCCGGAATAAGCGTACTCCCAGCCCCCTCCAGGATCCTTGCGAGAGTAAAAAGCTGATCCGTCGTTCCACGACCAGGACGGAATCCGCATTGTTCCTCCTCAATCTGAGGTTCGACAATCAGCCTGACCCTCCTTTCGAGTACCTTAGAGTAAAACTTTCCCGGGGAGGCTGAGTAGTGTGATGCCCTCTGTAATTGGCACACACCACCTCTGATCCCCTTTTTAAATAGGGGAACCACCACCCCGGTCCTGCCCACTCCTTCGGTACTGTTTCCGACTTCCACGCACGTTGATGAGACGTGTCAACCATGACAGTCCCTCAAACACCCAGAGCCTTCAGCATTTCCGGGCGGATCTCATCCACCCCCGGGGCTTTGCCACTGTGGAGTTGTTTGACGACCTCAGTAACTCCCCCCGGGAGATGGTGTTGATCCCCCGTCATACTCCAGCTCTGCCTCTAACATAGAGGCGGAGTTGTCGGGTTCAGGAGTTCCTCAAAGTGTTCCTTCCAACGCTCCTAACACTCCATCAGTTGAGGTCAACAACGTCCCATCCTTACTGTACACAGCTTGGATGGTTCCCTGCTTCCCCCTCCTGAGGTGTCGGACAGTTTTCCAGAACAACTTTGGTGCCGCCCGAAAGTCCTTCTCCATGTCTTCCTCCGAACTTCTCCCACACCCGCTGCTTTGCCTCGGCCACGGATGAGGCTGCTGCCCTTCGGGCCTGTCGGTACCTTTGCAACTGCCTCGGGAGTCCCCCCGGGATAACAAATCCCCTGAAGGCCTCCTTCTTCAGTCGGACGGCTTCCCTGACCACCGGTGTCCACCAGGAGGTTCGAGGGTTACCGCCCCTTGAGGCACCTAGAGACCTTGAGACCACAGCTCCCCGCCGCGGCTTCGGCAATAGAGCTTTGACAACACCGACCACTCTGGTTTCAATGTCCCCACCTCCACAGGAATGCCCGAAAAGCTACCGCCGGAGGTGTGAGTTGAAGGCCTCCTGAACTTGGGCCTCCTCCAGACGTTCCCAGTTCACCCGAACTACACGTTGGGGCTTACCAGGTCTATCCAGAGGCTTCCCCCGCAACTCGACCCAACTCACCACCAGATGGGTGATCAGTTTGACCACTCCCGCCCCTCTCTTTACCCCGAGTGTCCAAAACATACGGCCTCAGAGTCCGATGATACGATAACGAAATCGATCATGGACCTTCTGCCTAGGGTGCTCTGGTACCACGTACACTTATGAGCATCCCTTATGTTCGAACATGGTGTTTGTTATGGCCAATCCAGGACTAGCACAGAAGTCCAGCTAAACAAACCACCACTCCGTTCAGATCAGGGGGGGCCGTTCCTCCCAATCACGCCCCTCCAAGTGTCCCATCATTGCCCACATGTGCGTTGAAGTCTCCCCAGCAAGATTAAAGAGTCCCTTCAGGAGCCCCATACAGGACTCTTTCCAGGGTCTCCAGAAGGCCGTATACTCTGAACTGCTGTTGGGTGCAATAAGCACACACAACAGTCAGAGTTATCCCTTCCCCCATAACCCGCAGGCGTAGGGAGGTCGACCACTCTCGTCCACTGGGGTAAAACTCCAACAACGAAGCACCTAACCGGGGACTTGTGAGTATCCCCACACCCCGCCCGGCGCCTCACACCTTTCATCCCTAATAAATCCACATGTATTAATAACCTCATGTAGTACCGGTCAGCTCCACAGGGGGCAGCAGAGAGCAGCTTAGATATTCACTGCCTCTGTGGTACACACTAAATATTGCAGTACTTCGTATTTATTGTTGACGCTGCATACACCACACACACACCACACACACACACACACACGCACACACACACACACCATGTATACATTACTTCAGGGGACTTTACATTGACTTACATGCATCTCCTGGAGACTTATCCTAACCTTAACCATAATCAACACATGCCTAATCCTAACCAAGTCTTCACCCTAAAATTAATGATTCCCCTTATGGGGACCTCCATTCTGTCCCCATAAGGGAGGCGAGTCCCCACACGTGACTGTGTAAACAGATGTATGTCCCCACAAGGATAGTAATGCTAGGCCACACACACACACTTTCTTCCTCATACACACACAAACACACTTTCCTTCTTCCTCACTTCCACACACACTAAAATTAAAAGAGACTCACCGATCCCCCTTCAAAAACCTCCGTCACCTTGGAAACATCTGGATCAATGAGCAGCCTTCTTCTGCTAAAGCACCGGCCCAGCTGGGAGAAAATGGGAGTGTTTTTTAAGAGCATGTTGCATGAGGTGCAACGTTTTCAGAAACAAATAAGATATATGTGGTCCAGTTGCATGACGGGAACGTAAAACACTGAAGTAGAACAAGAAACGTATTTATCCCGGGTAAGTTAGTCAAATCAAATTAAATACAATTATAATTTGTCCACCTGGATGTGTGCTTTGTAAATTGTGTATCTTTAATATGTTGCATATGCCTCTAATTTAACATTTAGCTATTTTTGATACATCTGTATATACATCTAAAATTCAAATTAAATACAAATAACACAATAAAATGAAATAATAATGCAAAAGATTGGTTATAAGAAATACCCAGCAAGGAATAAATTAGGTTAAATGATATTAATAAAATATAATGTTTTTATTTGTAACTTCTTATGTTTATATTAATATATTTTATTTTAAATTGGAGCAGAAAACCCAATGCCTTCACCGGAAGAATAATGTACTCATTTTTAAATTGACCTTGAATTAAGATTATCGTCCATGTTGAAGCTTGTTGTTGTTGTGGTTTACCTTGTGTATGAAGATGGTTCCACACAGTCCTCTCCTTCCCGCCTTACTGGGTTGGTTGAGGCCGCAGTCGTACTGCAACTATCCCCATGTCGACGTCAACGGCCATGGTTACGGGCCTGCTCAGCAGCCAATCCGAAAGTTGAGGCGGTCGCCGGTGTAGTTCTTCACGATGAGGAGGACGCCCTGTGCTCCTGAGGAGAGAGAGAAATATACTTATATACATAGAACAAGCAGATCACAACATACTTTCCCACTTCTAAATAAAACCACAAGATAGTGTTGTAGAAAGTTAGTAGCTGCGTTTCATTTAATTACCAATTGATGAAAACACACACACACACACTGTATACATCACTTCAGGGGACATTACATTGACTTACATGCATTTCCTGGAGACTTATCCTAACCTTAACCATAACCAACACATGCCTAACCCTAACCAAGTCTTCACCCTAAAATTAATGATTCCCCTCATGGGGACCTCCATGTCCCCACACGTGACTGTGTAGACAGATTTAGGCCCACAAGAAGGCGAGGCCCCACACACACACACACACACACAACACACACACACACACACAACACACACACACACACACACACACACACACACACACACACCCACACCACACACACACACACACACCACACCACACACACACCACAACACCCACACACACACCCACCACACAACACACACACACACACACACAAACAAACGACACACACACACCACACAACACAAACACAACACCACACACCACACACACACACACACACACCACACACACACCACACCACCACACACCACACACACACACAACACACACACACACCACCACACACACACACACACACACACACACACACACACACAACCACACACACACACACACACACACCACACACACACACACACACACACACACACCAACACACACACACACACACACACACACACACACACACACACACACACCACACACACCACACACACAGTGACTTACACATTCATTGCCCCTATAACAGTAAACAAAATTAAAAAACTTGTGTATTAATTTACCTGCTTTGTGCAAACACAGAATGGCCGCCAGGATGCTTGGCAGGAGGAGGAGAAGCAACACTCCCCCTGCTACAGCTGCTGAGAGCATGCCTTCACCAATAAAACCTGCTCACAGGAGAGAGACATTCAATTACATTAAAAAATATAAATCTGAGGTAATCACTCCGAGTTCCTACCCCCGTGTGCAGGCTCGTTGTGTACCGGACCCCCCTCCCGACAGCAGAGCCACTTTCCCCCTCAGGAGGTTCAGGTCTGAGCGCAGCAGCACCCTGTGGCCCCCCCACATCCGAGAGAGGCCCCCGTTGGCCCTCACCAGCCCACACAGAGCCTCGTCCACACAGACCTCTGCAGAGTTGATCAGCTTCTGTCTGGGCTGAGAGACACAAATAAACAAGTCAACTGTAATGTCAATCTTTCAGTTTGTGCGTACAGACAGAGAGATCGAAATACCGATTCCCACAATCCCAAATACAAATATATATAAACATATGTATATACCTATATATATATTATACACACAATCAACAGACACATTTATACATATGCACACATTAAGACGTCATTAAAAGCACAACAATCACAATATATACAAAATAACAGTCACTTCAATATCTTTGAGAAATGTACATTAGTGCAAGACTGTCCATAGCAGCGTAATAAGTGTCTGGATTTGTCTGTGTGTGTGTGTGTGTGTGTGTGTGTGTGTGTGTGTGTGTGTGTGTGTGTGTGGGTGTTTGTGTGTGTGTGTGGGGTGTTGAAGTGAAAAGAGACACAAACAAAGGACACACTGGTTCACTGAGAACCTGCACACACTCGTCTGTGTTGGATATGGTGTGTGTGTTACATGTTGTGATCATGGATGTTTCCCCTGTTTTCTGTTATGTGATTGTGATGTGCTATATGTGAAATGTATGTAGTAACGTGTGTTGTTTGCATTTTACTTTTTATTCCTTTTGCCTGTATCTACTTGTCTTTCATCCTTTCTTTATAACTAATGCTGTTGATGGATTTTGATTTTAAAAAGGTGTCAATTATCATCTGGCCGGGAGCAACAGCTGGAAATTAGCAATGTTGGCTAAAGATGCCTCATTTACCACGACATAAACGTATAAAACACGTATACAACATATATTATAAGCTATTAATGTCATGTATTAAATCAGAATTATTTATCACGGGGGGAAATTGGGTTTTGTGACAGTTGCGCCTTATGATAATGACATAAAATAGAAGATAAAAAAAAAAACAAGAAGCATAGGAAGTTAAAGTAAAATGCCCAATAAAAAGATAAAATAAAAATGGATATAAACGTGAGCCATGAAAGTAGGAATGTAAACCAAAATATCAAATTAAATATAATTAAATATATAAATATAAGAAGTTAAAGTAAGAATGTGCAATAGAAACGTAAGATAAATTATGCAATGTGGATTGTTTTGCCCATTGTCCTCTCCAGAAATAGACCACACATTCACTTTGAAAGTGATATAAAAAAAGATTGAATGTGGTCAACACAGATCTGTATACTGCTTGTAAAGTGCCATTTAATTTGAAAAAAGCAAATATAATTTTACTTAAAGTGGACCCATTATGCTATATTGGAAAAATATATTGTAGGGCCATAGCTATACAAAACATGTCTGTGAAGTTTTTTGCTTAAAATGCCAAACAGATCACACATTGTAGCCATGCCACATACTGCTCAAACCCCTCTTTTGCAGCCCTGTTAGAAACGCGGATTTTGGGTGCTTAGCTTGATGAAAAAAAAGAGGAGGCGGGGCTAATGCCTGATCAGAATTCTACCGGAGATAAAGTTAAATTCTGCTGTGATAAAAATCCATCCTGTTCTAAACCACATCAAAGATTATTTCTGAAACAGTATGGATCTCAATGCTTTTTCTCTTGCAGGTTTATCACAAGGTGAGTTCCTTTTTTTATTTCCTGCTTTTTAAACACTCTCCAGTACAGGTTAGCTCTGAGTGTTAGCGATGCTAATGTAAACAAAGACGAGATTACGTCCAAAACACGTCAGGCATTGTTTCTTATAGCAATTTTCTGTGGGTCCGCTGCCGATTTGACGTCAGATCGGCAGCAAATCTGTATCCGCTCGTTGTACCCCTGTTTTTAAAAGATTTGGGTACGGAGGAAAATAGAGAGGGCTTTATTTTCTGACGCTGCGAGAGTTCCCCGACGCACCGGGGACACATATTTATGTATGAAAGACATCACAAAGTGCATTTTGCATGATAGGTCCCCTTTAAGATCAGCTCCTTCAGCCGTTTGAACAAGACTGACAATAACAGAGGAAATGTTTTGCTGTCCTTTTGTTGCAGGGCTTGTCTATCTGAGTTATATATTGTAAGTTCAAGTTTTCGTTAGTGCTGTAAAAACATAAATCCTAGCATCACAGATGCTGTTTTATTTTTGTATTGGCTATACTGCTCATAAAACAGGAACCCAATATAGATTCAATAAAACTGTCACAATAATATAATAAAAAAGCGTTACTTATAAAAGTACGTTTTTGTGCTTTCACACAAAAACAGGACACGGGGGGGGGGGGCTAGTGGAGCCTCGCAGCGGCGAAACCGTGCTACACTAATTGCGCCAAATAAGCAAATAGGTGCGCCGCATTTTCGGCTCAGTTTTAGCTATGTCTCATAATTATTTGTGTAAACATAAACATAATTTGTGTGTAAATATGTGATTTGTAAATGTAAAACACCATCCACAAATGCATTTAAAAGATTTGCAAACTCACAGATACATTTGCAAATGTAAAACGGATCTGCAAATACGCTAAATATTTTTACAAATAAAAAAAAGATCTTTGAATATCTCTTTAACATTTACAACTTTCAATCAGGCATTTGTGAATCCATTTTGTATTTGTCGACCAAAAATGCGCTTGTGGATCTCAAATCTCTGCTTGTGGATCGTCTTTTTAATTTACACACACGGAGTTTTGAGACAAACTTTCCGCCGGTCTCGGCTAAAATCTACTCGTGTCACTCGGTTATTTTCGGAAACCATGTGATGGCCTGCTGATGACGACATTTCCTTATGGTTTTCAAAGTAAGAGCATGATGGTTTGTTTAATGCGCTGTTTTTTTAATGAACAGCGGAACTAGATGCATTCTTTATCACCATCATCCTCATCATGTGATAGTGATACAGTTAGTTTGTTGGTTCAACTTTCTTAATTGTTTTTTGTGTATTCAGTCAAGCGGGTCAAAGTTACAAAGCACTTCACATCTTATTAATCGGCCTAGTTTTACCTTAAATATATAAGCAGAGGTGGGAGAAATACTCAGATCTTGTACTTGAGTAAAAAGTAGAAGTACTCAGATCTTTGAGTAAAAGTAGAAGTACTCAGATATTGTACTTGAGTAAAAAGTAGAAGTACTCAGATCTTTGAGTAAAAGTAGAAGTACTCAGATGTTGTACTTGAATAAAAGTAGAAGTACTCAGATCTTGGACTTCAGTAAAAGTAGAAGCACTCAGATCTTGTACTTGAGTACACGTAGAAGTACTCAGATGTTGTACTTGAATAAAAGTAGAAGTACTCAGATCTTGGACTTCAGTAAAAGTAGAAGCACTCAGGTCTTGTACTTGAGTACAAGTAGAAGTACTCAGATGTTGTACTTGAGTAAAAGTAGAAGTACTCAGGTCTCGTACTTGAGTAAAAGTAGAAGTACCAGAGTGTAGGAACTCTGTTACAGTCAAAGTCCTGCATTCAAAAGCTCGGATACAGGAAAGGGGCGGGGTTAGCAACATCTGACCAATCAGAAACAGGCACAAGCTAACTGACAGCTGTGCACGTCATACTCAATACAGAGTGTTTTCCTGTGATCCAGATGTTGGAAGTACAATTTTGAGGTACTTCTACTTTACTTGAGTATTTCCAGTTTATACTACGTTGCACTTATACTCCACAAAAATTGAGAGGTAAATGGTGTACTTTCACTCTAAGAGTTTCATCATTTGGCTTTAAGGTCATTGATCCTTCTTTTTATTCTTTAACTGTTAAAGGTTATTTAAGCCACTGGTTTACAGGGTGTCTGGGCTTTATTTAAAATACAATTATTTTACTTTATTATATAATTATAAAGTCAAAAGTCAAAGTATCAAACACTTAAATCAACACAAGCTGCACAGTAAACTTGTATCTGCAGCAACAGACTATAAACTGTTTGCTTTGTAGCGTTTCCTTCAGCTGTTATTATGGGATGGACTTTGATTCTTGGGACAGGTGTGCAGACATGCTAACTGACAGGCTGCAAAACAGATCATTCTGCAAAAACAAATCACATTTCCAGACTTCCTGCTCGGTGCCTCTCTGTTCTGATGTTTGATAAACTCCTCAGAATGTTTATTTACCTCCATTTCTCCTGTCTTGCTTCCACTTGCTCCCGACAGCAGGTAGATAATACCGGATTACAAAGAGCCGAGGAAGAAATGTTTCTTCTTTGTCTTCTTTTATCAGGTAGAGAGCCGCTTTGCTTTGCCGCCACCTGCTGGACTGGAGTGGGAAGCATAAGCCTGGCATATTAAAGGGCCCATGTCATGCTTTTCCGGTTATTACCCGTCCCCTTGTGTGTTATGAAGGTTTTTATGCATGTAAACGGTCTGCAGAGTCAAAAACCCTCAAAGTACACCCTGTAGCACACAGTATATGCTGCCCCAAAACCAGAGATGGGGTCGTTACTAAAAAAATGTAATATATTACATATTACTTTTTTTAAAAGTAATATATTACACTACTTCGTTACTCTCTACATAAAGTAACTCGTTACTTTACTCGTTACTTTACTCGCCGAGCACGTACGAACTGCGCATGCGTGAGTGGCAATAACTCTCCTTACCAGCAGGCGGCGGTAGTGTGTATTCGTCATTCAAAACAGGCAACAACCGGAAGACAGAGAAGAAGAACAGACTACGTGATATAAACAAACAACAAATAGCGTGTGCATTAGCTTCACCTTAGCATGTGTTCTTTGCAGGTGTTTGTTGAGGTTTGACCACGTGGTGTTTACAGCAGTGGATAACAGCTTCTGGCCTGGACACAATTTGCACCTCACCGTCACATTCCTGTCTATTCTTCGGACGAACTCAAAATAATGGGCATACCTCCACCCCTCGAGAGTTATCGCTGACTCAGCCATGTTTATGCAGCACTGCAAGTGGAGATGTGTACACGCAGATTACGTACATATAAACCTGCGGCGGAAACCCCTCTTGTCTGTCAGTGTGATTATGGCTGATTTTAGTAAGTAACGAAGTAACACGTGTCGGGGCAATGTTAGTAACTGTAGTGTGATTACTGAATTATAAAAGTAGCGCGTTACACTACTCCGTTACCGACAAAAGTAATATTATTACAGTAACGCGTTACACCCAACTCTGCCCAAAATGCCTCGTTGGAGATTTCTCATTTTCCATTGTTTACTTCCTGGGTACTGTGACGCGTGAATACCCAGAGGCCACACCCTCTGCCAGCATTTCACGAAACAAAGCTTCACAAACCTTTCAGCGATTCATGCCGGATATGTACAGAGTAGGGGGTACTGAAGAACGATGCTGGTCCTACTTTGTTTGGACCAGCGGGAGATTTGGGTACACAACCTGTAAGTATTCATTGTTGTTTGTGTATTTATGATGTTTAAAACAAACAAGGTATGGCAATCTACCACGACTGTTTAAATGGGTAAACGTTTTTCGGGCTGCTAAGCCATTGCCACAGTGCTAACTGGGCTAACTAAGTTGCTAGCGTTTCCATATATCAACTCCAATGTCAGCAGATGGCCTTACATGTATCTCATAGCAGGAGAATATCTGCATTCACACACAAAATACACTTAGAGTCTTAGACAGTATACTCCGGGTGATTTACCGTACGGTCAGTTGCAAAACTTAATTACATTATAGTTGGTGTTCCCAGCGTGTATGCTACCGAGCTAAAAAAAAATAAGGCTACCAAGAGCTAGACATGAGTTTGCCAAGGAAAACATTGTTTTTATGCCAGCTACAATGAATGACCGAACGTAGCAGACTACCCGTTTAAGATTGCAATTGTAACATGTTCTTGCTAGCCTAATATGAACCACGAGCTGTTGTTCATAGTAGGTTGGCATATAACACTGAACAACTAGCAAACGTAGATCAGCATATTAATCTAGCTGGCAAGCTAACGAACCTAAAACAACTAAGTTTCTCTAATATTTTGTGATTTGCATTTAATTTCGTCCAGCCAGATCAGGAAATTCCTGGCGTATCCGGCGGACAACACATGACGGGATGACCACTCTGATGCCTCGTCCTAAAAGCCCCAGCACCAGCTTCCAAAGCTGCGATAGGCAAGATGCCGAAAACGCCTATAAGCAGGGCTGCACATAACTGGTGCGCATGCGCACCCGCCGCGAAAAAAGGAGCACCGGATCATTTGAAAAAAGGCGCATTTGCGCACCAACATTGAGAGAGAGAGAGATATTTGCGAGTTGCATATGAACGGGTAAGATAGCAGGGTTTCCCACACATAGACTTTACCTGGGCGGGCCACCCAGGTATATTAACGGCCGCCAAAGTATAATTCGTAAGCCGTTTAGGTTTGATTTTTTTAATCCGTCCGCGAGCAAGACGGCATCTGTCGATCCCTCGCTCTACCCCCTCGCCATCGTGTGAAGGGTCTGCTTTATGCACTCCGCACAGTAACCCTGCTGCGAGGCTCCGGTGAACAGTCCATGAGCGTGCTCACTAGCGCAACTCCCCCCCCCCCGTTTATAAAGTCAAGTACCCCTCAAAAGGTCCGGTTTATTTCATTTTAAGGATGCGCACCAAGCAACATCTCCAGGTGCTCCTTTGAGAACCAGGGCAAAAAGGTTGTGTGCACCCCTGCCTATAAGGAGAGGAATGGATGATATACCCCCCGGGCGCCGTTCAAAATGGCCGCACACTGCTCCTAACACTAGGATGGGTCAAATGCAGAGAAACAATTTCCCCACGGGGATTAATAAAGTATATCAAAATCAAAACATCAAAAATATACAGCGTATATATGTATATTTACACATTCATTTTGTACGTTTCTAAAAATAAAGTTGGATGTAAATACTTAGTAGTAGCCTTTCTTCCCTGAATTATTTGCTCCTATAACATATCATTGTTGATGTTCCGCTCAAAGCCGAAAAAAGCACTGTGTTAGACATGGGCGGAGCACAATTTAAATCTATTCTAGTAGACCTCAACAATGGAATTATGATCAGTAGAAATGGCCATGACATGGGCCCTTTAATAAATAATTAAATTAATAATTACAATAAATATGAATATTAAGCTATTTTCAATGTATTAGTTTATTAATTATCATGGCTTTTTTTAACATTTTTATAATTTATTTATGTAGGTTCTAAGTTTTTTATTTATGAATGTATTTATTTGTTTCTCCTGTAAAGAAATTTGTTTTGAACAATCTTTTTTTAAAGCAGTTTTTTAAATGATTAAGTCATATATTATGAATTTGTTTTGGCATACTCTATAGACCAGCGGTTCCCAACCTTTATCGACTCAGGGCCCACATAAGAATTAAAAAAAAATGTGCGTCCCACATTCAACCATCTTCTCCCGCTTATCCGTGGTCGGGTCGCGGGGGTAGCAGTTCCAGCAGAGAGCCCCAAACTTTCTTTTCCCTGGCGACATCAACCAGCTCTGACTGGGGGATCCCAAGGCGCTCCCAGGCCAGCGAAGAGATATAATCCCTCCACCTGGTCCTAGGTCTACCCCTTGGTCTCTTCCCAGCTGGACGTGCCTGGAACACCTCCCTAGGGAGAGCCCAGGTGGCATCCTAACTAGGTGCCCGAACCACCTCAACTGGCTCCTTTCGACGCGAAGGAGGAGCGGCTCAACTCCGAGTCCCTCCCTGATGACCGAACTTCTCACCTTATCCCTAAGGGAGACACCAGCCACCCTGCGGAGAAAACCCATCTCGGCCGCTTGTATCCGCGATCTCGTTCTTTCGGTCATGACCCATCCTTCATGACCATAGGTGAGGGTAGGAACGAAAATGGCCCGGTAGACAGAGAGCTTTGCCTTCTGGCTGCAGCTCCCTTTTCGTCACAACGGTGCGGTAAAGCGACTGCAGTACCGCTCCCGCTGCTCCGATTCTCCGGCCCATCTCACGCTCCATTGTTCCCTCACTCGAGAACAAGACCCCGAGATACTTGAACTCCTTCACTTGGGGTAAGGACTCATTCCCTACTTGGAGTGGACAGTCCATCGGTTTCCTGCTGAGAACCATGGCCTCAGACCATAAACAATACAATACGGAGGCTAAATAAAGTTCTGATTGATCGATTCAGAACATGTGACACGTTGTAAATCCAGTAGAACAGACAGTTGTCAAGGACTGTAATGACCGTTGCTAAGGAGGATCAAGAAAGAGAAAGGAAAAGAGGTTAAATTAAAAAAAAAGATCTTGAAAATGTTTCAACACAAATCATAATAATATTTTATTTGGGCTTTTAGATGAAGACACAAGACGCACACAGTTAATAAATACAACTATTCTTCTGGCTAAAATACATATTTTTAAAAGTCAATTTTAGCAGTAATCTTAATTTAAGGTGTTTGAAGAGTAGATTAAAAATAAAATTTATTTTGGAAAACATTGCCACAAAAAATCTAAGGGTGGCACAACAGGCCATGAAATGGGAAATAATGAGCTCTAACGAAGAGTGGGATTAAAGGAATAATACCTATGCCATGTTGTGTTTTTGGTGGCATTTGGTTGTCAACCTATTTTTTTTTGAGAAATGTTGAAGTGATCCTACCCATCTTTATTTCTTGTTTTTGTTTAGTTGTTGTCTGAGATGGGAATGTCATCTCCTATATGTTATTGGTATGTCCAGGTTTGTGTCTTTAGCCATTACAAAAAAAGAAATGATTTGGTGGCCCACTTGCAATCATTCACGGACCACTAGGGGTAACCCACAGGTTGGGAACCGCTGCTATAGATAATATCCCAATTGTGATCTTATGGTGACGTTATTTTTGGATTATTACATGGCTTAGTTTAATACTCGATTCTGATTGGTCAATTGGATGTAGTTGAGTAACAAGTACAAAGATACATAAAATGGAAATAATCCATTCAATTACAGCAGGTATTTTTGAATGTGTGAGAAAGTAATTTCCCTGTGAGGGATTAACCTCCTCCTTCCTCCTTCAGTAAATGAACCTAATTGCATAACTTAAAGGTGGGGTAGGTAAGTTTGAGAAACCGGCTCGAGATACACTTTTTGTTATATTCCATGGAATGCTCTTAACATCCCGATAGCAATGAATATCTTAAGTGCTTTGATAAAAATTCCATAAATAAATATCATCTGTGGAAGCCGTAGTACTGTGAAAAGCACGACCAATCATCTGAGCCGGCTAAAGTAACTGGATGGCCTACCTGCCTGTCAGCCTTCCATCTGGGCACAAACTTATCTCGTGCCCTCATTGGTCATGTGCGCGTTCGTGTGTGTTGGAGGAGGGGCTCTGAGAGGAAGTGGCAGATTTTTTCCGGCTGTGTATTTTCAAATTCTAGCGCATTCGAGCTGGTTCCTCCAAAATTACCTACCCCACCTTTAAGTGGTGGAATGAAACTGAATAAACACATAAACTGATGTAACATAATGATGTCATTCTTTCGTAGTTTATTCTAAAATAAATATATAGACAAAACAGCTGAGACTTCTGGGAGTCCCGCAGCTAATACAAGAAGAAAAACCCAGGATTCTGTGGCATTAAAGGAAAGTGTGATGAGGAAATCAGACCAGTTCAATGGAAGAAATTAAAGGACGTCATATAAAAAAAAATGTACACACAGCAGTCAGGTTGTGGAAGGAAATCCAAAAAAGTTAAATTGAGGAATTACTGGCAATGTGCAAACACATACAGGTGTTATATGTACTAGTAAGAAGATTTGGATGCAAATGTATTTAGTTGTTCTTGTGTGAGCCAGGGAAAGCTGATATGTGTAGGATTTGAAATGGTGCACCTAAAGGGGCAATGCAAAGCTTTTTTAATCCTCTACAGTCTGCTATAATAATAATAATACTGTGAAAGCTGCTAAAGCACGGTAAATCATCCACATAAGAAAACCTAAAAAAAAGGCTTATTTTAAGGTATTTATTTATTCTGTTGACTCTTACAAGTTGAATAAGAATAAAAGGGGGGTGATTGTTCGCAATTTTTTTCTAGTCTTCAACCCTGGGTCCCTAACGTGACATCGTTGGTTATTTACAACATTAAAATAAACAGGAATACAAAAGAAATGTCGGTTCAGACAGGACTCATGTTGATTAACAAAGTGCCATTTCTATCATTCTCATCTAAAAGGAGGTTTTTTCAGGTGTGTTTTAAGACAATACTCACACAGAATGATTTAAAGACGAATAATTCTTAATTTGTATACGTGTGTGTGGAGTATTGAACTAAAACAGACCTGGAAAACATATTTTTTTACCTCCACTTCCCTCTTTTTTCTGGTAAAAAGAGACCCCCAATTCAAGCTCTCCAAAGGTCCCCATCATGAAGCAAGACAAGCGCCGTCTTTGCTTTTGATTCGCTAACTAAAAAAGTCAAATAAACTAATCCACGTCGATCCGTCGTGTCTCATGAGTAAAAGTTTAAATCCCAGAGAATCTGAAGACTTCCTTTAGGGTCCATATCCTCCACAGATTTAAGCAGGGTGGTCTTAACGTCAAAATATAAGAAGATTCTGGATCCACATTTCCCCCATTTAGGCTCCGATGTGTTGCTCTGGAAAAGAGTTTAGGTAAAGGAGCATCTTCAGGTAAATGTCCTAGCTCCATGAGTCCCAGAAGTCTTCGTTTAAATGAGTTTAGTCGGGCATGTCGATGCAGAGTTTAGGCGGCGGGACGAAGTACTTCCCGGGGCTCTGAGTGATCACCACGCCCGTCTTTTTGTGGAACATGGGGGCTATTTTGGGCGGCGGCTCGGGGACGGGCAGGTCCTCCGCCGCCTCGGGGTCCTCGCTGCGCTGCAGGTCGTAGGACACGTTGCCGTACTCACGCAGGAAGGGGAGGAGCTCCAACAGGAAGTGGCAGAAGTCCTTACGGATGCCGAACCACCCTGTGGGAAACATCACGACAGGAAGAGTTAACAGAGGGGAAATAATTATATATATATATTCAGAGGAGTACAAATACTTCGTTACTGTACTTAAGTACATGTTTCTGGTATCAGTACTTTACTCCACTACTTAATTTTCTGACGACTTTTTACTTTGACTTCTTACATGTTAAACTCAAATACCTGTACTTTCTACTTCTTACATGTTGAACACAAATACCTGTACTTTCTACTTCTTACATGTTGAACTCAAATACCTGTACTTTCTACTTCTCACATGTTGAACCCAAATACCTGTACTTTCTACTTCTTACATGTTGAACTCAAATACCTGTACTTTCTACTTCTTACATGTTGAACACAAATACCTGTACTTTCTACTTCTTACATGTTGAACACAAATACCTGTACTTTCTACTTCTTACATGTTGAACACAAATACCTGTACTTTCTACTTCTTACATGTTGAACACAAATACCTGTACTTTCTACTTCTTACATGTTGAACTCAAATACCTGTACTTTCTACTTCTCACATGTTGAACCCAAATACCTGTACTTTCTACTTCTTACATGTTGAACTCAAATACCTGTACTTTCTACTTCTTACATGTTGAACACAAATACCTGTACTTTCTACTTCTCACATGTTGAACACAAATACCTGTACTTTCTACTTCTTACATGTTGAACCCAAATACCTGTACTTTCTACTTCTTACATGTTGAACACAAATACCTGTACTTTCTACTTCTTACATGTTGAACTCAAATACCTGTACTTTCTACTTCTTACATGTTGAACACAAATACCTGTACTTTCTACTTCTTACATGTTGAACACAAATACCTGTACTTTCTACTTCTTACATGTTGAACTCAAATACCTGTACTTTCTACTTCTTACATGTTGAACCCAAATACCTGTACTTTCTACTTCTTACATGTTGAACACAAATACCTGTACTTTCTACTTCTCTCATGTTGAACTCAAATACCTGTACTTTCTACTTCTTACATGTTGAACTCAAATACCTGTACTTTCTACTTCTTACATGTTGAACTCAAATACCTGTACTTTCTACTTCTCACATGTTGAACTCAAATACCTGTACTTTCTACTTCTTACATGTTGAACTCAAATACCTGTACTTTCTACTTCTTACATGTTGAACCCAAATACCTGTACTTTCTACTTCTCACATGTTGAACCCAAATACCTGTACTTTCTACTTCTTACATGTTGAACACAAATACCTGTACTTTCTACTTCTTACATGTTGAACTCAAATACCTGTACTTTCTACTTCTTACATGTTGAACACAAATACCTGTACTTTCTACTTCTTACATGTTGAACTCAAATACCTGTACTTTCTACTTCTTACATGTTGAACACAAATACCTGTACTTTCTACTTCTTACATGTTGAACACAAATACCTGTACTTTCTACTTCTTACATGTTGAACTCAAATACCTGTACTTTCTACTTCTTACATGTTGAACTCAAATACCTGTACTTTCTACTTCTCACATGTTGAACCCAAATACCTGTACTTTCTACTTCTTACATGTTGAACTCAAATACCTGTACTTTCTACTTCTTACATGTTGAACTCAAATACCTGTACTTTCTACTTCTTACATGTTGAACTCAAATACCTGTACTTTCTACTTCTTACATGTTGAACTCAAATACCTGTACTTTCTACTTCTTACATGTTGAACACAAATACCTGTACTTTCTACTTCTTACATGTTGAACACAAATACCTGTACTTTCTACTTCTTACATGTTGAACCCAAATACCTGTACTTTCTACTTCTCACATGTTGAACTCAAATACCTGTACTTTCTACTTCTCACATGTTGAACTCAAATACCTGTACTTTCTACTTCTTACATGTTGAACCCAAATACCTGTACTTTCTACTTCTTACATGTTGAACTCAAATACCTGTACTTTCTACTTCTTACATGTTGAACTCAAATACCTGTACTTTCTACTTCTTACATGTTGAACTCAAATACCTGTACTTTCTACTTCTCACATGTTGAACCCAAATACCTGTACTTTCTACTTCTCACATGTTGAACACAAATACCTGTACTTTCTACTTCTTACATGTTGAACTCAAATACCTGTACTTTCTACTTCTCACATGTTGAACCCAAATACCTGTACTTTCTACTTCTTACATGTTGAACTCAAATACCTGTACTTTCAACTTCTCACATGTTGAACCCAAATACCTGTACTTTCTACTTCTCACATGTTGAACCCAAATACCTGTACTTTCTACTTCTCACATGTTGAACTCAAATACCTGTACTTTCTACTTCTCACATGTTGAACTCAAATACCTGTACTTTCTACTTCTTACATGTTGAACCCAAATACCTGTACTTTCTACTTCTTACATGTTGAACTCAAATACCTGTACTTTCTACTTCTTACATGTTGAACACAAATACCTGTACTTTCTACTTCTTACATGTTGAACTCAAATACCTGTACTTTCTACTTCTCACATGTTGAACCCAAATACCTGTACTTTCTACTTCTTACATGTTGAACTCAAATACCTGTACTTTCTACTTCTTACATGTTGAACACAAATACCTGTACTTTCTACTTCTCACATGTTGAACACAAATACCTGTACTTTCTACTTCTCACATGTTGAACACAAATACCTGTACTTTCTACTTCTTACATGTTGAACTCAAATACCTGTACTTTCTACTTCTCACATGTTGAACACAAATACCTGTACTTTCTACTTCTTACATGTTGAACTCAAATACCTGTACTTTCTACTTCTCACATGTTGAACACAAATACCTGTACTTTCTACTTCTTACATGTTGAACTCAAATACCTGTACTTTCTACTTCTTACATGTTGAACACAAATACCTGTACTTTCTACTTCTCACATGTTGAACACAAATACCTGTACTTTCTACTTCTTACATGTTGAACCCAAATACCTGTACTTTCTACTTCTTACATGTTGAACACAAATACCTGTACTTTCTACTTCTTACATGTTGAACTCAAATACCTGTACTTTCTACTTCTTACATGTTGAACACAAATACCTGTACTTTCTACTTCTTACATGTTGAACACAAATACCTGTACTTTCTACTTCTTACATGTTGAACTCAAATACCTGTACTTTCTACTTCTTACATGTTGAACCCAAATACCTGTACTTTCTACTTCTTACATGTTGAACACAAATACCTGTACTTTCTACTTCTCTCATGTTGAACTCAAATACCTGTACTTTCTACTTCTTACATGTTGAACTCAAATACCTGTACTTTCTACTTCTTACATGTTGAACTCAAATACCTGTACTTTCTACTTCTCACATGTTGAACTCAAATACCTGTACTTTCTACTTCTTACATGTTGAACTCAAATACCTGTACTTTCTACTTCTTACATGTTGAACCCAAATACCTGTACTTTCTACTTCTCACATGTTGAACCCAAATACCTGTACTTTCTACTTCTTACATGTTGAACACAAATACCTGTACTTTCTACTTCTTACATGTTGAACTCAAATACCTGTACTTTCTACTTCTTACATGTTGAACACAAATACCTGTACTTTCTTCCTTCTTACATGTTGAACTCAAATACCTGTACTTTCTACTTCTTACATGTTGAACACAAATACCTGTACTTTCTACTTCTTACATGTTGAACACAAATACCTGTACTTTCTACTTCTTACATGTTGAACTCAAATACCTGTACTTTCTACTTCTTACATGTTGAACTCAAATACCTGTACTTTCTACTTCTCACATGTTGAACCCAAATACCTGTACTTTCTACTTCTTACATGTTGAACTCAAATACCTGTACTTTCTACTTCTTACATGTTGAACTCAAATACCTGTACTTTCTACTTCTTACATGTTGAACTCAAATACCTGTACTTTCTACTTCTTACATGTTGAACTCAAATACCTGTACTTTCTACTTCTTACATGTTGAACACAAATACCTGTACTTTCTACTTCTTACATGTTGAACACAAATACCTGTACTTTCTACTTCTTACATGTTGAACACAAATACCTGTACTTTCTACTTCTTACATGTTGAACACAAATACCTGTACTTTCTACTTCTTACATGTTGAACTCAAATACCTGTACTTTCTACTTCTTACATGTTGAACACAAATACCTGTACTTTCTACTTCTTACATGTGAACTCAAATACCTGTACTTTCTACTTCTCACATGTTGAACCCAAATACCTGTACTTTCTACTTCTCACATGTTGAACTCAAATACCTGTACTTTCTACTTCTTACATGTTGAACTCAAATACCTGTACTTTCTACTTCTCACATGTTGAACCCAAATACCTGTACTTTCTACTTCTCACATGTTGAACACAAATACCTGTACTTTCTACTTCTTACATGTTGAACTCAAATACCTGTACTTTCTACTTCTCACATGTTGAACCCAAATACCTGTACTTTCTACTTCTCACATGTTGAACACAAATACCTGTACTTTCTACTTCTTACATGTTGAACTCAAATACCTGTACTTCTACTTCTCACATGTTGAACCCAAATACCTGTACTTTCTACTTCTCACATGTTGAACCCAAATACCTGTACTTTCTACTTCTCACATGTTGAACTCAAATACCTGTACTTTCTACTTCTCACATGTTGAACTCAAATACCTGTACTTTCTACTTCTTACATGTTGAACCCAAATACCTGTACTTTCTACTTCTTACATGTTGAACTCAAATACCTGTACTTTCTACTTCTTACATGTTGAACTCAAATACCTGTACTTTCTACTTCTCACATGTTGAACCCAAATACCTGTACTTTCTACTTCTTACATGTTGAACTCAAATACCTGTACTTTCTACTTCTTACATGTTGAACACAAATACCTGTACTTTCTACTTCTCACATGTTGAACACAAATACCTGTACTTTCTACTTCTCACATGTTGAACACAAATACCTGTACTTTCTACTTCTTACATGTTGAACTCAAATACCTGTACTTTCTACTTCTCACATGTTGAACACAAATACCTGTACTTTCTACTTCTTACATGTTGAACTCAAATACCTGTACTTTCTACTTCTCACATGTTGAACACAAATACCTGTACTTTCTACTTCTTACATGTTGAACATGGAACAGGATTAGGATTTGGACTATGTGACTGTTGCCAGCATCCATAGTAAATAAAGAATCAGTGATCTACTCATTTATTTATGAGCGACTAAAAGGCCTTAGGCCTATTACAGCCGTATCCTATTGATTGATTGAGGATAGTGAAGAAGTTTAGTCAGTACTTCTACTTTTACCAGAGTATTTTTAAACACGAGTATCTGTACTTCTACTTGAGTAAAGGATGTGTTCATTCTGTAAACACTCACAGTGGTTTCCTCCCTTCTGACCAAAGGTGGTGGCCATGAGTGTGAGCAGCGAGAGCCACAGAGGCACGAACACACACACGTAGCTCAGGCTGTTGTGGTCGTCCAGCTTGTGCACCAGAAGGATCTGAACAGACAGATAACACGTATTAAACACAAACGCAAAGACATTACAACTCTTTTCTCCTCGTGGTCTGTGGCTCCAGTTTGAACAGTTATCTCCAACAGTGTGTATAAAATAGAGAGGTGTTACACACAGTATTTTAATCACCTAGTTATTTCAGTTATGCATCTAAATAATTAAAGCCGGTTCGTATTATGATATAAGCTGCGTCTTATAAATTGGGTTATATTTACAGTTTACTACTGTTCTCATGCAATGCCCCTAAAATAACATTTGAGATGCTTCCCCACCACATTTTCCATTTGATCAAACCATAATGCTTTCATCATTTCCAGGCCATCTTGTTTGCAATGTAACCTGTTAAGGTTACGGGGGCTTTTTTTTCTTCACGAAACTGTGTCTCAGGGCTTCTTAACATTTAACAAACTATGAATGTGTCATACCCACTTAACGGGAAGAAACTCAGCTATCAGACAATATGAACCATTTTTGATGCATATATATATAAGGCCTGTACATATTTTAGGCCAGCAGGGGGCAGGCTAAATGGACTGTACTTATATAGGGCTTTATCCAATCTTTAGACCACTCAGAGCTCTTCACATACTACGAGTCATTCACCCATACACACTCTTGCTCTAGGGTAGCTAAGACACACACACACACACACACACACACACACACACACACGCTCAGGGGGCTGGGATCGAACCAACAGCCACATACATTTAATTATGAAAGCAATTTACTATATATCCAACTTTTCTATTAAATTATAATCCAATATTTCTAATTTAGTGAGGCAGGCACTAGAACTCAGATTTACTTCTTTAGGCTGAAAACAGTTACATTAAAAATAAATACAAATTAAGTGAAAATATTAAATAAATTACAATTTAAAGAAGAAGTACTTAATTGAGGGGAAATTATAAATGTTCTCTATTGTGTTATTTTGACAACCTAATGAGACAAACTTTAAAAAAGGTGCCGACTCACCTCGAAGGTGAGCAGAGGGACGACGATGGTCATCCAGCTGATCGCCATGGTGATGTGAGTCCGGCGTTGCTCGGCGATGATGTCGATGGAGCGGAGGAAGAGGACAGACCAGATGATGTAATAAAGGACGACGAGACAGAGGAAGGACATCAGGATCCACAGCGGGACACACACCACCTGAAGCACACACACATACACACACATACACACACACACACACACACACACACACATACACACACACACACACACACACACACACACAATAAAGAGGATTATTAAGAAGCAAAAACAAGATCCCTAAAAGTACCGGTAAAGCACAAGTACCTCAATATTGTATTATAGTAAATGTTCTTGATTACATTCTACTTCCTCTGCAGATTGCACCTCTCACTGTGAAGCCCAATGAACACTTGTGTAATTGAAGTGTGTGTTTGTGTGATATCTCACCAGCCAGGGCCAGGTGATGATCAGGTCCAGCCTCAGAGCGATGAAGATGAACTGGAGAATATTCACTGAACACAACACTTCCAGCTGAGGAGAGGAAGAGGAGACACACATCAATATAATAGCACTCAACACTGTCATTGTTACAAAAGAAGCATCTTGATTTGGTATTTTCTGCAGTATTTGGCGGCAGGTGAGCGAGGAAGCAGACATTCAACTGTCAAATGTTGTTTTGCATGGAGAAAGTAAAGGGTTGTTGTTTATCTTAACTATTCAATATTAAAATGAATATAAATGTAAAATGTACAGTGGGAGTTTAAGTCAACAAATATAACGCAGGATATTATTGTGCAAGAAATTGATTATTTATATTCATTTTAATATTGAATAATCAACTTCTTGCACAATAATATCCTGCGTTATATTTGTTCTATCCATCTACCTATCTATCTATCTATCTATCTATCTATCTATCTATCCACCTACCTATCTACCTATATATCCACCTACCTATATATCCACCTATCTATCTATCTATCTATCTATCTATCCACCTACCTATCTACCTATCTATCTATCTATCTATCTATCTATCTATCCACCTACCTATCTACCTATATATCCACCTACCTATCTACCTATCTATCTATCTACCTATCTATCTATCCACCTACCTATCTACCTATATATCCACCTACCTATCTACCTATATATCCACCTACCTATCTACCTATCTATCTATCTATCTATCTATCTATCCACCTACCTATCTACCTATCTATCCATCTATCTATCCACCTACCTATCTATCTATCTATCTATCCACCTACCTATCTACCTATCTAATAAGCTGCTTACTGTTGAAAATGAACCTCCCAACTTGCACAAATAAGAACACACTTAAACATATCTAATCAAAACATATGTATTTATGTATAACTCCAGTTGTTGATATATCTTTATCGGCACAATAATAGACAGGCGGTGTTCAAATCCAGGGAACTCAATATTCCAACTAGTTAGTTAGTTAGTAATATAGACTATTCTGCACAATGTCTACTATATTCTATTTTATTTGTATTTACTTGCACTATTATCTGTTTTATTGTGTTGCGCTGTTGGAGGAGCCTGTGACCTAAGATGTTCATTGTCATACCTACAGGGCCGGCTCTAGACAATTTGCAGCCCTAGGCGAGATTTGAGCTGGCACCCCAGCCAGAGAATCGTACAATAGAAAATATAAAGATCAATAGAGCATCCAAGGAATACGCAATAGAATGAGGGGTGGACGTCACATCCTCTAGTGGGGTCCATGAAGAATTTTTTGAACATTTTAAAGTAAAATGCTTCAATCTCGTGCACTTTGAGCACACAATTACTACTAAATCTATGGGGTACAACCAAGGGGCTCTGGGGAATAGCCGGGACGCCAATACGGAAGTGCCACACACTGCAGTTCATATATTGGCCGATAGGCGATGGCTGCAGAAAGGAGCAATTTCCATAGACCCCCATGTTAAAATGCCCAATTTTACAGCAGAAAAAAACATGTTTCTACCCCTGGCTCCATACATTTGTATTATCGATATAGTTAGATTCCACCTTCATGATTATGGATCTGTGAGTGAATTGTTTTCTAACACGACCCTTTTATTTATATTAGGTCTTAACGTTTTTGCATAAATTAGGGCGTGGTCACATTGAGTGACGGCTCTGTCAAGTGACTGCTGCTGCTAGCTTCTTGTCTCTCTGCTAGCTGCTCCGTGAAGCTACAGGGACTCTGCCTGCTCAGCTCATCCAGGGAACACAACTTGAAGCCGGCCGTGGTTGTTTGTTCTTCATGCTTATATATCGGACTATTGTGACTCGCTCTGCGGTTAAAACGGACGGTGCATGAATGCGGTTTTGCGGTAAGTGAAATTCGAGTGCTTTATTTATGTGTTAATGATTTGAATCAGCTACGTAATGAATGTTAAGGGTTAGCGTGTAGCGAGTGGTAGCTACATCGGTGCTAACGATGCTAATCGTAGCCTCCAAGTTAAAATCATAGACTGTATATATAAAGGTTAAAGCGAAATAGACAAGTGTTAAGTGGGATAATACTGTTGAACAAACGGCTTCTGTTTGAGGTTGATAAAATAAGGTTACATCCTTGTAACTTAGAGATATTTTATTATGTAGGTAGGAACTGTATGCATCGCTAAGGTTAATTTAAATTGGCTATGCTCAAGTATGTAGACAAGCTAATGTCGAAGTAGTGTATGTGAAATCAACCTCACAATAAGATGTGTGTATATTACAATTATTAATGTCATATTTCAAGATGATTACTTAGATATTACAATATGGTTGGTTGAGCTGGAGCATTATTGAGCTTACACGTTAACGTCACAGTCATCTGAAGAACGAACCCAAACCTTGTTGTTTTTATTAATTGCATTACCAAATGGGTATCAAATAAACAGTAAGCATTGGTAACACAATTTCCAAAGTTACAGTAAAATAAAAAGGACCCTGACTCGGACAATACACGATCCAACATGTTCAACTGAAGAGAATCAGTTATATTGTTTGTACACATGGTACTTTACATATATATCTGTTTGTTTAAGGTGTCCAGGTGATGCAGACAGGCTGGACCAGAGAGTGAGAGACAGAACTGGACTCCTCACAGCAGTGAACTTCAGCACAGGTACAAAGACTCTTTTTTTCATACTGTACAAAGAATCAAGAAAGATATTGGTTTAAATGAATGAAGTATTGACTTGAATACACTGATATACATTCCATTAAACAATACTAAATACTAGATCACCTACACATCAGTTAAGTTGAGGGTTTTTTCCATGCAAAAAGTTACATTTAGATATTTAGCAATATGACTTTGTCAGCTTTCTAATTTAATGTATTGAAGGCAAAGATATTTAACACATAGTGAGAACTGCTACTATTTATCTCTCAATATTGTCTGTAAAAAACGTGGTAAAAGTGATTCTTTCAGTGAGACAACAGAGCAAGCTTCTACAGTTGCACTACGTTTTGTAACAGTTAAATATTATTTTGATAATAACATATATTTCAATGTTGATGAACTTCATACTGTTCATTCATAATCTGATTGTCTTTGTAGCTCACTGTTGAAATAAAAAAAAAGATTACAATTACAAAATAATTATATCTACAGCCCCTAAACACACCAACACACCGCTTTCATAAATAACACACTTGTTCTGCAATAATATGTTTTATGTTTCCTGTCATTTTTGTTAGGAAAGGACATGCCTGAAAGACACGACATTTTCTCCTTCTCTGAGGGTCAAGAATCCAAGAGGAACATTAAAAGCTGAGGTTATGAGATTTTAAGACCAGTACAGGACATTCACTAAGAAACTACTTTTATTGTAAAAACAGTCAGCTGATCGAATGCACCTATTTCCACATCTACACTCCATCAGCTGATTATTTCTATTTGCCTCACTTTATGAGCTTCACATCACTTGTGCCTTGTACCGCAGAGTTTGCAACGTCACAAATAAATGGGGCCAATCTTCAGTCAGATGTGAATGTGTAATCTAACATTTTCAGTAAGAATAATGGACAAAAGGAGAGCAAATACAAATACAATTTATTGAAATGTGAACCAAAAGTTAATCAAATGTTTTAAATAAAAAGCACATATGGACAGAAGGTGTAAACCTATTAAATGTATTAAACACATTTAGTCAAATAAAGTGACCGACTAGGCCTGTGCAGTTGGTATCAGCTTTGCCCAGCATGGGCTCCTCCATCAGGCCTGGTCCTCCTCGCAGAGGAAAGACCCTCAGTCCTCCTCGCAGAGGGAAGACCCTCAGTCCTCTCCAAACCAACAGACAGGACGTCCATCACACGGAGGTTTCTCCCTGAAGTCTCTGCAGCCCTCTGGACACCATGCTGTCTCAATCCGTCCACACTGAATATGAGATTGGGAAAATGAAAATAATAAATGCTTTAGACAATAAGAAACATAAAGTTGACTGTTGAGTTGCTCAGTTTTGTTAGATTGTCAATACTATTACTGTATAACTAATATCTCAGGTTAAGAGGCACATTCAAATAAAGATTGGTCTTTAAATACATGTTGTCTTTTGAATTGTTTGTCTAAAGTCAAGGATCTAGAACTGGTACTTAGTTTTAATGATACAGTCTGGTTATTATGCTGTTTGGAGGAGGCCTCACAGGTAAGAGCGCTAACTAGCTACCATCACATGTACCTTAGCTTGACTTAAATGTATTAAACGTATAGTTAAGTGATATCAAAATACAAATAACTAATGTCATGCAAACATATTAATATTTGCTTGATTCCAGTGTTGAATTTAGCACAATTGCATACAAACGTTAAGGGGTTTTAAGATTCTGAAGTATTATGCTAAAAGCTCAATAACTTAGATTATTATTTATAGTTTTGCTGAATAGTTTCATGTCCGCTTACCTTAGAAACGTAAAATGCGACGGCAGCGTGCAGATGGGGAGCATGTTAGCTTAGCTTGGTAGCTTCAGCTAGCTCTGGAACTTCCAGCTCGGTGGCAGCAGGTCCCGCCTCGGCTCCGCCTCTTTGCCCTTATTTGGAGCAGGCTGGAACAGGCGGGAGTTGAACTCTGACGTCACTGTCGAGCCGTTAGTGGCCGACTCCGCCTACTAAGGGCTTCACGGCAACTCTGCAGAATCCTATGGGTGACGTCAAGGACCCTACGTCCATTTATATATACAGTCTATGGGTACAACTCTAAACTCTCCCACGCTCACTCGCACTTTAGTTGTGAGCTGCGGGTGCCAGATAAGCCAACATCCCCCACTTTCATCACTTACAGCTAGGGATGGGTACCGAGCCCCAGAATTAAACGGGCCCCGGGGCTGAATTATTAAAGACCGTGGTACCGTTAAGCTACGACGTTATCGGTCTTTTTATCGGTACTGGAGACATGTAAAAAATATGGCATGTGTATTATTGCTACACAAACATTATATTGCAGTTTTAGTTTCGTCAACTCCTTTTCTAATATGCAATAAGACTGCAAAATGCTTCCATGATTATTTTTTGTATTTTCGATCTCTCTCCCGCCTGCTTGCGAGGGGGCGGGGCAGTTTACACACACGCGGCTGCTACATGCAGCAACACACACACACGGAGGAGATGGCGGAGAGAACACGCTCCGAGGTGTGGTTTACCCGTCTCGATGCTCGTTGCCTAAAGTGCAATAAGAGTTTAGCATGTAAGGGCGGTAACACGAGCAATTTGTCTTAAAGGTCCCATGTCATGCTTTTCCGGTTATTACCCGTCCCCTTGTGTTATGAAGGTTTTTCTGCATGTAAACGGTGTGCAGAGTCAAAACCCTCAAAGTACACCCTGTAGCGAGTAAAACTCTAACACAGAAAATACCTCCCCAAAACGCCTCGTTGGAGATACGTCACTGTCCATTTGATTCTTCCGGGTACGCATGATGTCAATCGTATCCGGAACCAAATGGACCAATCCGTGGAGCCGTTACGTTACGTCCGCGGAGCCGTTACGTTAAGCCCCCGCTGATTGGTCCAAATTGACCAATCCACGGACTTCCTCACACACTCAGTGCATGCAGCTCTGCTAATTTCTCCTCCCTGGCTGAAGGCTGATAACAGACAGTTGGGATCGCGGCGACATTCTCTCTGCAGACCCATTCTCTCTGCAGACCCATTCTCACAGCGTTTATCAACCTTTTTCTTACTCAATATCAAGCCACACTTATTGTTTTTACTTCGGCTGTGACTTTGTGTGTGCTCAGGATGAGTTTGTCTGTGTTTGGCTGTGTATCGCTAAACAAGGAAATCACACCTCCACGGAGCTCAGCTCTACTAAAAGTAGTAGTACCGTTAAAACCTTAACGATACCCATCCCTACTTACAGCGCCCATCGTACAGGGCAAAGGAAAAGTGTAACCGGGGTGAAAAGGGTGTTACATTTACTTAATTATGAATATTGTTACAAAATTAGGATTAGCACCAACGGTAAAAAAAAATGTTCTACCAGATCTGGCACCCTAGGCGAACATCTATAACGCATGTAGCTATGTACAAATGACAATAAAAGCCTTGAATCCTTGAATCTTGAAATGCAGCCCCAGTTACATGTACAATAAAATCTCGTTTTTATTCATTTTGTCCTCGTCACCTCGAGGGAGCGGTCGTGTCTGAAGCCCCAAACGCAGGCTGCCACGGAGACGGGCGAAACGAAGAAGAGTGGCATGAAGACGAGGAGCCAGAAGTAGTCTCCTCTGGCCACGCGGTCGCACACCAACACCTCGAACATCAGCAGCAGGACATGCAGACCCACCGCGATCAGCATGGCTTTGAACTCCACACATGTCTCCCCTTCAGCCCTGAGGGAGGAGATGATAGGGTTCAAATTAAACAAAGATACGGAAGACATTTGGGGCTTTTTGGTGGTGTGAGAAGCGTCAAAATCACCACTGTAAGGCCTACAATAACTAGTTTACAAGACACATATAATAACTAAATGAGACAATGTTGTTTTGAAACTCTTCTGTATCTCTTTTATGCATGGTTTTTATGAATCTGTTATTGTGTTCCTTTCGGTTGTCTTCTTATTAAGTGTTCATGATGATGTAAAGCACTTTGAATTGCCTCTGTATAAACGTACCTTACCTTAAAAGTACCAGTTCATACTGACACTAATGATTCCTAAAATGAAATGTAATGCTGCATACTTTCATGATTTAGAAAGCTAACCAAACAGACACTTCCCATACAATAAAGCTTAATATATAAAGAAGATATTATAAGTATATAATCAACGTCATAAGACTTATTATGTGGGATTACAGACACTGTCTTTTCAATATGTTGCATTACAGTTAGGGGACATGTTATGTGTTTGCTTGCTAACACAAGAAATGAACACCAGTAAGTTGCTTTTTGGGCTGAATCCACAATATTGTCTGTACATACAGATTCATATCATACATCCAGCTGTGTATTCTGTATATAATAATAATAATAATAATAATACATTGCATTTCAAAGCGCTTTTCCAGGTGCTCAAAGATGCTTTACAGTGGTGATAAAACATGATAAAATAGAATTTAAAAGTTATTAAAACAGCAATACAGCATAATTCACAGATTAAAAGCCAGTGTGAAGAGGTGTGTTTTGGTCAGTGTTTTGAAAGTGAAGGGGTCAGTGCAGTCTCTGATGTGTTGTGGGAGGGAGTTCCAGAGGGTGGGGGCAGCGATGGAGAAGGCTCTATCCCCCCAGGTTCGGAGCTTGGTTTTCTTGGGGATAGAGAGGAGGTTCGCTTCTGATGAGCGAAAGCTGCGGGAAGGGGTGTAGTGGTGGATCAGGAGAGGTAGGGGGGAGCCTGGTTATTGAGAGCTTTGTGTGTTAGCAGAAGGATTTTGAAGTGTATTCGTTGACGAACAGGGAGCCAGTGCAGGTTTTGAAGGACGGGGGTGATGTGGTCTCTGGAGCGGGTGTGGGTGAGGAGGCGGGCAGCGCAGTTCTGGATGTATTGTAGTTTATTTAGGATTTTGGATGATGAACCATACAGGATGCTGTTGCAGTAGTCCAGTCTTGAAGTGACAAATGCGTGGATGAGGGTTTCAGCAGCCGGGAAGGTGAGTGAGGGGCGGAGGCGGGCGATGTTTTTCAGATGGAAGAAGGCAGTCCTGGTGATGTGGTTTGTGTGTTTGTCAAATTTGAGCTGGCTGTCAAAGATTACTCCAAGGTTGCGAATGTGAGGAGAGGGGGTTAGAGTGGTATTGTCAAGGGTGAGGTTGAAGTTCTGAGTGGTGTTGGTGCGGGATGGGGGTCCGATTATGATGATATCAGATTTGTCGCTGTTCAGTTGAAGGTAGTTTGTTTGCATCCAGGATTTAATTTCTGAGCGACAGTTGGTGAGTGTGGAGTGAGTTGTGGCAGTGATGGTTTTTGTGGAGATGTAGAGTTGGATGTCATCAGCGTAGCAGTGATACTGGAGGTTGTGGCGACGGATGATTTTTCCTGACTATTAGCATTACTAGCACTAGCATGACAGTGGCTATATATAGGTATTATATTAATACAAGCAGAGCCTACTCTAACAGCTGCAAATCGTACCATTGTCACACAAATCTAACATAGTCATATATAAATAGTAATAATTCATTATGAACGGGATTCAGTGGAAAAGTCTTGTTTTTTCTGCACATATTTTATTATTCCGAGTATTTTGTAATAGTATACTGTACATTGTTTATTTGGTATATGTATATTTCATGTAAATAACTTTCTACATGCCGTGTATGTGTATGTATAATAGGTTTTCATTTTTGGGTGTTTTTCCTTACAATTTGTTTTCATCAACTGTTTATGCATGCACCATATACACCAAGGCAAATTCATCCAATGTGTACATTCTGATTCTGTTAGCATTTAGGTCACTTTAACAACTACCTTCCTACCTACTGGTGTTGACATGGAAAATAACTAGATGGCGATTGTTCTGCTTGAGTAACTAAATCATTTCTTGTGATGGTTTTTTAGCAGCATGTGTAGCCTTAATGGGATTGAACCACAGTTGCCTCATTAATACCTCACTGCTGACAACTAATCCCACAATGATGATGTCTGAGAGAGTGCCTACCTGTACTGGGGGTTGTGTGCCCAGACCCCGGTGCCCACAGAGGCCCCGATGATGACCAGCAGCTTCCACAGCCAGATGGGGGTGAACACGGCCCAGTAGCTCCACTGGATGACTCCATCCAGCCTCAGGGAGAGCAGCACGGAGAACAGCAGTAGACACGAGTAGATCAGGAACTTACTGCAGCACAGGGCAGAAGAAAACACTGTGATAAGGACACTAATGTACAAAGTAAAAGCCTATTTGTACCCTTGAGAGGTTTGGAGTTTTCACCGCTTACAGGCATCGAAAGAACACTTTTGTAACATTAATTACGTTTTTTTTTTTTTTGGATGCAATACAACCTAGAAAGAAAGGGTGTGTGGAAAGTTTGGGTGGGTTGAACATAAATTCAGGAAGGTAGAGAAGCTTAAATAGATAAAGGATCAATAAAGGAGACTGTTGATAGCCTGAATGCAAATAACATAAAAAGGAAAGTATTTTGCATTATGGAAATTAAAATGAGATGGAAAAGAACATGTTTCACAACACAAAAGTCTACCAAATATTGAGAAAATCTGACTTAATTCACTGAAACTATTTATTAAACATATTAAATTGGACTGCATTGGTATTGGTACGATTAATATTTCGCGTATTTTGTATTATTATTACAACTTGTGGCTAGTTTCTGAGCAACCCCTTATCAATACTTTATTTATTGTGAAGTATTACCCTGTGTTTTTGTATTGTGTTAGTGTAGATCCGTTGCTCTTGAGGGCCTGTGAAGCTTAATGTGATACCAGAACTGCATGTGCTACTCTATTAACTGAGAATGGATGCTAAAAACACATGCGAGTAATTAAAATAATGCAATTATGCTTCAATTCAATACGAAGTGAAGATAGCTTTGCCTAGAAAACCCCAGCTTTAGCTTAGCTAGAATGTTAGCTTGGCCTTGTTTAGCCCGATTTGTTTTTTTCGCTTTAGCTACTGTATTTACACTTACTTTATAACAAACATATCAATCTGTTCATATAGCATACATATGTTTATACAGTTTAACACGTATAAAACACACATCTTCGCCATCTTTTCAGCCAAGCAATGCTAGCTAACGTTAGCTCCACAGTTAGCTAAAGTGCTAAAGTTACCTGGGATTGAAGTCCTGAAAGAGTCCTCTTAAATTCATGGTGTAAAAAAGTCTGGTTGACTAGCAAACATTAGTTCCCCGTGTTGTTGTTGATGATTCACTGACTCATTTGTGTGCTAAACATGTTAATTTAGGCGGTAGTTGGGCTTTTCTGTTCAGTTTCATTACAGCCCTTTTGCTAGCCCGTGTTTTGTTTTTTTACCCCATCGGAAATCACGTGACCGCGGACGGATATAGCCGAGCTGTGTCCGAGTCTCCGAGAGTTGACGAATTAACCTTTATTTTATTTGTTATTTATTCAAGAACATATATGAACATCTTATACGTTGAAGTCAGGGGTAGACATTAATTGATTAAAAAAAACATACATCAAATAAATGAATACTTTTAAATCTCGTGACCACTGGCGGGATTTCAAGAACTCATCAGACCAAAAAGAAGAATAAATCACAAATGGTTCATCCATGTCAATTACAGTAATTACAAGAATAGTTTATATCAATTTTAAATCTCTATAGTGTCTTCTTACAGGAAACATTGCATGTCAAATCTTGAATAAAACCTCCCTAACTTATTTGTTATGGAGAAAACAATCGTTTCTAATTAATTGGTTCATTAAAGGTAGGTCATTTTGGAGAAACCAGCTCGAGTGCGCTAGAATTTGAAAATACACAGCCGGAAAAAATCTGCTACTTCCTTACAGAGCCCCTCCTCCAACACACACGAACCCGCACATGACCAATGAGGCAGTGGCGGTTCTAGACCAATTTGACTGGGGGGGCCACTGGGGGACCAGTTATTTTCTGAGGGGGGCTCAATAAATGCAGGACAAAAAAGAGAACTAGACAGTATGAAGTAATTGCGCAGAAAACAATGCAATACAGTTATTGGTATTTGTTTCAGTACACTTATTTATTTCAGATAGATCTTATAGTTATTACTGTTAGCGTCAGCTTAAGTTATAGTGCAATGTTTGCACTAACACCATATTTATATAAAAATAAAAACAATGAACAGTTACATCTCTACTTTACATAAGGGTGTCTGCACAACCGAGTACCAGAAAATATACATTTAAAAAAACTTTTCATTGTTAGGGGGGCCACAGGAGGGTCAGAGGTCAGTGTTAGGGGGGCACTGGCCCCCCCCCCCTTGCCCCCCCCCCCTAGAACCGCCCCTGCAATGAGGGCACGAGATAAGTTTGTGCACAGATGGAAGGCTGACAGGCAGATAGGCCATCCAGTTACTTTAGCAGCCGGCTAAAATGATTGGTCGTGCTTTTTACAGCACTACGGCTTCCACAGATGACATTTTTTTGTCAAATTACTTAAGATATTCATTGCTATCGGGATGTTAACAGCATTCCATGGAATATAACAAAAAGTGTATCTCGAACCGGTTTCTCAAACTTACCTATACCCACCTTTAAGTGAAGCCCAGAAGAATCACATACACAACTAGTTTTGCCTTTTTATTCATAATATGTGTAATAGTGCTCCTTTAATTAATTCATTCTTGCTAAACATTTTTTTCAAAATTAGGTTTCAAGTCAGCCCAACTTGACGTCAGAACAAGTGAATATCCAGTATACTTATTTATTTATTTTGGTGACGATCCGACCTCCATGCTGCTACTCTGGTTCAAACTGCATCCACCAAACAATATGATTTATCTCGACCTCCCCAAAATAACCAAAATCTGACACGGTGTGAGATGTCTTTTTTAGCTGTTCTGTCGTCATTTCCTGCGATCTTCTTCATGCAGTCAGTCAGAATGAATATTAATACGGGGCGTTTCTTTGACTATTTATAGGCAAATATGGGTGTTACGTGAAGCCCGCAAAAACTGCGCCGCATTTCGAGTTGACTGTGATTTATAAAGGGAAACCGGCGTAGGACGTGCGTGCGGCACGTTCTACGCCGGTACGCAGTGTTTTATACATTGAAAATTGTCTGTGCGTATTTGCTTTGTCCTACATATTCAACCTTCCCACGTGAATCCTACACAAGGCTTTATAAATGAAGCCCCAGGCCTCAATTAGACGCCTGCAGCTAGTCCAGAATGCAGCTGCGCGTCTTCTGATTGGACACAAAAAGCGTGACCACATCACCCCAATTCTGGCCTCATTACACTGGCTTCCAATTCGGTTCCGAATTGATTTTAAATTCCTTTTATTTGTTTTCAAAGCCCTAAATGGGCTGGCTCCGGCTATAGCCCAACTCCTCGCCACACCCCTGCCAGAGCTTTAAAGGCCCGGACACAGGGGCGGCAGGTACTGTAGGCTAGGGAAGGCTAAGCCTTCCCAAATATTTGTGTCACTGCATCCTGGTAAAATAAAAAATATAATGTAGCCTATAATGTTTGTGTCTTTGACATTAGCGCTGCTATGCAGCCACCTGTGCCCTGTACTACGAAGCCAGTTCAACAGACCATGGATATGTTTGAGTTATCTTAACTAACCCTAACAAACGAGATCTCCCTAAGCGGTCCTACGACGCTGGTTATCAACTCGGTAAATCAAGCCAGGGTTTCTCTCTCCAGCTGAGAGCGCGTTCACGTGAAAGGGGCGTGGTTAGCAACATTTGACCAATCACAAACAGGGACAAGTGTACTGACAGCGCAACATCATACTTCATTAATGAAAAGTAAACTAATATTAGACAAATATGAACTTTAAACATCCATGAATTAAACATATAATCCAGGATACAAGCCACATAGTTGCTGCAAGGAGAATACAGAACAACTTGTTAAAAAATAAATAAACTACAGAGTGTTTGAAACAATGCGTACAGCAGTTTTATGATATCACTGCCCCGTCTAAGACACGAGTGGATCTGACTTTAATTACATGTGAGTGTTTCGTCAACTTAATGTGTTGCTTAAAATAATACTTCTGCATACAGTATGTGTGACAATGTAGCCTAAGTGTTGCACGGCCAGATACGGCTGGAGAAGCTGACTCAGACGGAAATATTGTTTTTGTAATATATGACGGACATATATGATATATTATGATATTATATGATCGATGATCTGATTGATGATGTGATATGAATGAAAGTGCGACACGTCGGCGTCTTCTCTGCAGGCTACTGCAGTTTAAATGGTATTTCCTTTATCCTGTAATATGACTTGATAGATTTAAACCCCGCACACTGAGCTCTGATTGGTCAGCAGGCGGTGCTTTCACTGAGTTGATCTCTTTTCTATAGACGCCGGAGGCGGGCAGCGTCAGGTAAAAAAAAGTTATTTAGCCTTCCCAAACCTGAGCCTCACGCGCCGCCTATGCCCGGACACACCAAGCCGATTTTGGCCCTCGGTGGGCGTCAGGCCGACGATGAGCGTCCTGTCGCCCTACTCAGATTGGTGTGTCCCGCACCGTTGTGTATTTTCAGCCGTGACATGACGACGCATTTTCGGCCGAAACCCCGCCGATTCTACATTCGGTGGGCAATCGGCCAAAAGGCTGTCGGTCAAATAAATCTCTGATTGGCTGTTCAGCTAGCGAATCAGTGCATGAGAAGCGAAACGGAAGTGAGGGACCCAAACAAACGATTAAGAAGGCAAATCTGAGATTTCATTTAACTCCAGCTCTCGACACAGGTTCGGGAAAGCCCCATGAGCTTCTCGCTGTAGAGTGAAAATGGAACGCACACGCTATTTGTTGTTTGTGCGACTGTTGGCCAAGACGCAGGAGACGTGAGGCGACGCAACAGTCGGGTCCGTCTGTGTCAGTTATTTGGTGTCAGCTTGGTGTGTCCCTACCTTAAGGGTGGCTGACCAGCTGTTGCTGATAGTGCCCAATACCAGGCTAAAAACCCGAGGGGACCGACCGAGCCTTCTCAGCTGCCAGCCCAGCCCCCGTTGACAATTCACGTGGGCTGGGCTGGATGAGATCCCCCGGCTGATTTTTTGTCCCAGTCCTGATTTGATTTGTTATTGAGAAAACAATCCTTTCTAATGAATTTGTTCATTAAGTGAAGCCCAGAAGAATCAGACAACCACATCATACACAACTAGTTTTGCCTTTTCATTCATAATATGTATAATAGTGCTGCTTTAATGATTTCATTCTTGGTAAAAAAAAAAAAGAAATTAGGTTTCGAGTCAGCCCAACTTGACGTCAGAACAAGTAGGTGTGGGTAGGCTAGGTTTTTGTGCCAATGGAAATACGTGTGTGGGGAAAACACTAGTCTGCAGGTGCTTTATAAAATAAGATGAACTGGTTTATCAAGAAAAATGGGTTGTTATAGGAAAAGCAAAAAGCTCTGTTTCCGTCAACTCTAAATAACACACTCACACAGACGGTGCTTAATCTGCTATTGTTATAAGAAAATGACTCTGCATCATGGATCATCACATGCTAACATCCTTATGGAAACATGAAGACTAAAATACTGCAAGTAAAACGAGTAGGCATGTGGAGTCAGACTTTATTTCCATGACTGATGAACAGCTGATGTTCTCTTTTTAGGCAGCAGACAAGCCGATGATTAGGTGATTTAGTATGAAGGATGAAGGTTACAGCAACACACTGGTGTTTATGTATGAATCTTCTAGCAAGAGCTCACAGATGACAAAAGCCATGGAGTAAATGACTGTTTTATAATAAACACATACATAAATACGATAAGGAGGGTTAGATGTACTGTCAGCTTAAATTATCTTTCCCTTGTTGAGTAAACACTGAACTCCCGCACAGATATTACAACATGATGCAAGCACATTGTTTTTATTTAGCAACTATTATATAATCACAAAAATTATACTTCACTTAAAATGTCGTAACAAATGAACTAGTTTTGAAACAATCTCAAGTAACATTGGATAAAGTCTTGGATAATGATTGAAAACACTAACAGAATAACTTAAATACATCCAAAAATAACTTAAAAGATGAACAATACCTCGTTAAACAGCGTGAACAGGTAACGTTTAACGCTATGCTGATTATTTTTACACACAGAGCAAAACACTGCACACAGAAATAACTTGTTAACTTGTTATGTAAAGTGGAAAAAATAAACAAGAGATATTTTAACCTTTAAGATCACAGAAGGCACAATGCTCACTGAATAAGTGCTGCTTTGTTGGAACATTTTAGAATACAAATCAGTCATTATTAGAACATTTATAACAACACAATAAATAAATTATAAGCTGCCTCACCCTCATGCTACACACACATTGAACATGTATTCAGTACTTAAATAACAACTGAAAAAAATCAAGGGAAATTAAAGGAGTCATGAACAAGTACTTAATGAAGTATTTAGACCCTTCAAATGGACCTTTCTGTGTATGTCCTGCTGAAGGCGCATGATAAAGCTTCTTGGAAATACCCAGATTGCTTGAAATGATCGCCTTTATCATGTTGTATAAACACTTTCCACATCAGGGTCAAATGTTAATTCAACTATATCCTTCTGCGGGCCAGTGTGTCTCTCTGTAGTGGGAGAGGTTGATTTCCGTAGTGCGTATTATCATTTCCGTGAAGCAAAATCTCTGCTTCAGGGCAAATGAATAATAAATAAGTATTCAACTGTCTCCTTTTCACATACAGGAAGAAAGTATATGTTTTTTTCTAGCAGAGAATACTTATCAATTAAATGATAACTGATTTATACTCAAGTATTAAATTAGATCACGTTACTTACTTCTGGTTTTCGACATTTTGTTACACCCACTGTTAAAATTACCATTAACAGGAACACCGAAAGGCAGCTGAAAACCACGACTGGGATCACATTGCTGCGACTGGACACACCTGACAAGAAGAAGAAACAAAGACATATGATTAGAGCTGATCTAATTTATATACAGAGAGAGACTCACAGCGGAAAAGAGACTAAGAGGTTGGCTATTTAAGACTTGTGATGGATCCTATTTATGGAGCGTTGACTTCAGAGAAAGGAGGCTGGTGAACGATCTGATGTCTGATAAACTTAAGGTTTATTTAGAGTCTGGCTAAAGAGAACCAGGAAGTCACATTGTATGCCACCACGTATTCTTCCTTACTCCTATATTTGCAAATTAAGCAAATCTGCCTCTATTCAAAACATGGTCAAACACAGAGGCGCTGCACAACTAAAGTTCAACATGGACGTCCCATCTGTTACTATCTGCCCTATTCCTAATGTGAAAAGGACATTCTAATATCAAAATGTGCATTCATTCTTAGGTTTGATTGTAAAAAAACCTGGTTTATATGAATAGATTAGCTCCAAAAAACAACTTTCTGTCACCTTTATCGGCCGTTTCTTCCTTAGGATCGGGAGTTTGGAGATCTCTAGATTGCAGTGGCGTCTCTGTTGTCGGGGAGTTTTGCTCTGGAAAAAAAGAGATGTAATTACTTATAACACAGTATTTAAAGGAGACTATAGAGTGGTGCAGGAATAAGTCTTAAAAACCTGTAAAATGAGTTAGCACATTAGCACTTTCGGGTCTCTTGTGACATGAAGTCATGTGACCGTGCTGTAGTTCCCTTATAGCACAACATTAGCCTCCTTTAGCTTCGCGGTGGTGACGTGATGTCATGTGACCGTCCTGTAGTTCCTTTATGGCCCAACATTAGCCTCCTTTAGCTTCGCGGTGGTGACGTGATGTCATGTGACCGTCCTGTAGTTCCTTTATAGCCCAACATTAGCCGCCTTCACTTTAGCGGTGGTTACGTGAAGTCATGTGACTGTGCTGTAGTTCCTTTATAGCACAACATCAGCCTCCTTTAGCTTAATGGTGGTGATTTTAAGTCATGTGACCGTCCTGTAGTTCCTTTATAGCCCAACATTAGCCGCCTTTAGCTTAGCGATGGTGACGTGAAGTCATGTGACCGTCCTGTAGTTCCTTTATAGCCCAACATTAGCCTCCTTTAGCTTAGCGGTGGTGACTTGAAGTCATGTGACCGTGCTGTAGTTCCTTTATAGCCCAACATTAGCCACCTATAGCTTAGCGATGGTGACGTGAAGTCATGTGACTGTGCTGTAGTTCCTTTATAGCCCAACATTAGCTGCCTTTAGCTTAGCGGTGGTGAGGTGAAGTCATGTGACCGTGCTGTAGTCCCTTTATAGCCCAACATTAGCCACCTTTAGCTTAGCGATGGTGACGTGAAGTCATGTGACCGTACTGTAGTTCCTTCATAGCCTAACGATAGCTTTTTCCTTCTGAAGATTGCATTTACGCTAAACGTATCATACATGTGTGTTTGCCACAGATCTTATTTTCTGCAATATTCCAAAATCCAATGGAAAAAACCCATTGGCTTTTTTCAAGGGAGCCCTCACTATGCTTCAAAAATACGGCATCACTGCACCGATCTATAGTTGTTTCATACGGGGCGACGTAAACCGTTGACATGAAGATACTTGAGTTAGTGATCTTGTTTTATATTATATTGTGACACTTTCTACATGTGCAAAATGTTGATAAAATAAAACATGTTAACGTTTAACTCACCAACAACGAGAACAACGATTGCAGACTTTTTTTGACCCTCTAATTTCGGGATGAAGCATCTGAATCTCCCCTCGTCTTCAAGCGTCACGTTGTAGATCTTGAGGGATATGTCTCCTTTCCCCAAGCCCTCTGTGGACAGCAGCGTCCGCCCCACGTACGACGAGATCTTTATATCTGTGACTTCCCTTCTGTCGCGATAAAGATGAACGTAATCCACTCTGCTCAGGCGGTCGTTGGGGTCCGGCTTCAGGTCGGGCCTCGACCACTCAACGGTCAGTCCTGACACATTTATCGGAGGCTCCACGTGGCACGGGAGGTTGATGTCATCACCTGGAGCTGCTCTGATTGACTGAAGGGAACCAATCACCTGAGGCTGACCTGAGAAATGGAGGATAAAGTTAAAAAACCTATGGGAAAGAGGAGGAGGAGGAGGAGGAGGAGGAGGAGGAAGATTGTGGCACTTTTTTCTGCTTATTGAAAGCTTCATATACTTGCAAGATTTTGGCTGTTTTCAGTTTGTATCTTTAAGGTTAGATTACATTAATACCTTTATTCAAAGCAACCTACAAACACTTCTAAACGATAGACATGCATTTGACTCGAAATGTAAGGTTTATTTTTAGTATTTGGCCCAAGGGCACTTTCACATGTCACTTGCAGGGGTTGGGTATTGACCCACTGACCCTCTGATTGGTAGACGTGCATTTAAGTCACTTTGGATAAAATCCTCAGCTGAAATGCAAAGTAATGATTAAAGTATCCTCAGTGGAGTTCTTCTGTTTAATTTGGATTCCTACCAGTTTTCCACAGGATATTACATTATAACAGTTGATGGGAAAATACTGAATGTGCTATTTTGTTTTTCAAGGACACAGAAGTGTGCGTGATAACAAATGTCCAAATATATGAAAGTGTGTTTGACAGGCCCTCCTAGAAGGTAAACATGCCACGCTGTCACAGGCACATCATAATTATTTACCGATGTTTAATCAGATGTTTTGCCTCTAGGGGGATGACACGCATGATCATTTCTGACGTGGGCCTCAGTTATCTTTAACAAAGTATAGAGTAATGCTATGAACCAGTATTCCTCCATCTTGTAAGTGCAAAATGTTTTCTCTTGTATACAAGTGAGCGAGGGACAGTGTCCTATGGCTGTATGTGATGACTTCTTCCATTCTTGCAAACAATAAATACATTAATCCTGATTATTGAAACTCAAGCCGGTCTAAACAGCGAGCTTCACAAGAGCCCATTGATTTCCCCCACCCCCCATCTCCACATTGTGTGTGTGTGTGTGTGTGTGTGTGTGTGTGTGTTTGTGTGTGTGTGTGTGTGTTTCCATCATGACAGTCACATTTTGTTTACAAAATACTAGTGCTGTCAAAATTATCGCGTTAACGGCGGTAATTAATTTTTTTAATTAATTGCGTTAAAATATTTAACGCATTTAACGCATGTGCAGAATGGCCCGCCCCATACGTGCCACCAGCAGTGCTTGAATTGGAATGAAAAAGGTGCCAGTACTCTAAAATCAGCAACTTTTTCAAGTCAATTTTATATATACAGCCCACAAACAAGAATTTGGCTACTATAATGCTGGTGGGTTTGTCTCTTTACTACTGTATATTTTAGAAAGGTTCACTGTACTTAACATTTTTTATGATAGGCAGCGGATATGGCTAAAGCTCAGTAAGGTCAATATTAACTGAAAATATAGCAATCAAAGTCTAGATCTTCTGCTGAAGACACATGAAGCAGAGATCTTTCAGGTGAGAGCCCCTCTGGTGGTGTTCAACATTAATGACAAGGAAACAAAGCTCTGGTCAGAAGCATTTTTTATAAAAAGCTTTAACAAAATTAAGTATTTCTGTACATTTTGAATGTAATCTAACTTTCCAACTCAGAAAACGAAAAACGAAAAAGTGCCAAAAGTCTTCTCACATGGCTGAGCTGCTTTGCAATATACTTCACCACTGAAGAATACAAATATGTATAAAGTAAACTATGATGCAATCTAACTTTCCAACTCAGAAAAATGATAAAGAGCATGAACAAAGAACATGTAAAAACAAATGCAAAATTTGCACAATCTAAAATGAGAAACTGTAACTGCAAGTAACAAAGTCTGAGCCATGGTAAAGAGTTACATTGAACACCAAGCTGATCAGATAACTCCCTGGTTGGTCTGAAGTCCTTCTATCTCCAGGATCTGTACAAATCGGCACATTATGCCAAAAGTCTTCTCACTGGGTAAGCTGCTTTGCAATATACTTCACATTGTTAGAAAAGGCTCCAGAAGGCCTTGGGGACATCAGTATCAGGGGCTGGAGCTGGACAGGCTCTTTCATCAGCACTTCTCCTTCCCTTTGCCAGCCAGGACCTCACATACTGTTCCGGATTGAACTGTCCTAGTGATGGTCCATTACATTTAATGAAAACCAGGCTGGACAGTCGGCTGACAGAGAGAGCATTCCTTTTTGCAGTAAGGATATCGTTCATGCAGCTGAATGCCCGCTCACACTCACTAGTGGAGACAGCGATGGTTCGGACTGCTTTCAGTAGAGGCTCCATGGCAGCAGGTGTACGGGATGCCCTGGTTTCCTTGTATTCGCGAAAGCCCTGAACAGTCTCTCTTCTGTCCACTTTCAGCACTTCGCACAAACGTAGCACCTCTACGTCCCCATACTGTACGTCTAACTCCTCTTCAGGCCAACTTCCAGGATGGATAACTTTCATGTCCTGGATTAGCTGATTGTCCCGGGCCTCCCGGCCATGTAATGGGATTTCTCTTGTGCTGACATGAGAGGAGGTTGTGGAAGTCATTCTGTGTCTCAGATGCTCTACCATACTGCGGAAAAACTGACCTGCATGAATCTGTACAAGCCTGCCATTCTCACGCAGGGCAACACCCTTGAAGGACTTCTCAGCTAGAGCTGTATGAACTGTAGTCATGTGTGGGCCAGGCATGGTGACCATGGATTCAAAAACTCGTATTTCTCGAGTTAAGAGCCTATCTGCTGTAGGCAGTGTCATCTCTCTTTTTTGGAGTTGCCGAGAGAGGTCGCTGAGCTCTGTGAGCGCATCGTACATCAGTCCCAGATTGCTGACAAACGTTGCAGATGTGAGCACATCATCCAGGCCCTTGTACTTTGCTCTATCTCTGGAATCCCTGCTCGTGTCGTTTGCAGCATTTGTGAAGTGATCATGAAGCACTCGGTAGTTTTCCCAGACTGCTCTGACGCTCCTTTCACTTGAAGCCACCCAGCGGATGGACAAAACACGCCCTATCACCAGGAGACGCTGTCCGACTGCTTGCGCACACTGCGCTAACTGCCTCTGATTTTTGGGGGAGGCATGGAACAAGGAATAGAGTTTGTCAAAAAAGATCTGGAAATGATTGAGCCCTGAGACCTCCTTGACCACATCCCCAACTGCCAGCTCTAGACGATGATTGGAGCAGTGCCACACAAACAGGCGTGGGAATTTACTACACAACTGGGTAGCAACGCCTGTTCTCTTCCCTAGCATGACTGAAGCCCCATCACATGCAAAAGAAACGAAACACTGACCTAAAAAGTCCTCGTTAAAATCTCTTCCAAGACACTCCATTAACGCCTTTGTGATGTCATCAGCCGTTGTTCCATCCAACTCGATCAGCTCCCAAAAAAACGTTTCGGGCTCAGCATCAGCTAATGCTGAGCGTAGACACACAACAAGCACCGTTTTACCACTAATAGTGGTAGATTCATCGACCAAAACACAGAGTTTTCTTTGGTTTTCTGTAATGTCTTTTGCCATTTTTTTCTTCAGCTCATGAGCTATGTGGTCGATGATTTCGCCACAGGTTTTATTGGAGTGCAAAACCCTGCCCACGTTCAGCCCATTCAGTTTCTGTACATTCAAATCAATTGGCATGTCTGTGAATGGCCGGCTATGTTTGCCAATTGTATATGCCGTTCGAAAAACTCTGATAGTGGTGTCTAATTTAGATTTATGCATAGACTGCACTTGATGTTGAATAGTTTCACGTGAAGCAGATGTAAGGATGGCAGCAGCTTTTACATGGGCTTGTGATTCTTTATGTTCTTTGATTTTTTTTATCAGGCTAGCTTGTTGTTTGCCCTTGTCAACACCGAAATGAGACACTGCACACTCACCCCATTCAGTTGACAGTGTCAGTCCTTGTCCAGTGTGTATTCCCAAAGATTTGACATCTCTGCATATCCGACATCCTAGCTTCTTATCTTTAAGAAGGAGCCATGCATTGGTCTTGCAAAAATATTGCACCTGGTCCGTTGTCCAGCAGTCAGGTGCATCGCTTTGCCAGGTGTTGGTGGTGGCAGTTGCGCCAGCAGCAGCTAACTTTAGAGGCTCTGGAGGAGGCGGCGGAGCTAGTGCTAATGCTAATGCACTAGAACTTGGAGCAGGAGGATCAACCAAAGAAAGCTCCCCATCAGACACAATTTCCAACACAGGCACAGCATTCTCTGTATTTGAAGTTTCTTCCGGCGACAACCGCTGTCTTTTTGCACTTTTATTAATCCACGCTAACATTTTAGAAATGCTAATTTGTGACGTGACTTGCTTTCCTTCTCTCGGGGGCGTGCCTGCTCTGTTCTATCACTCTACATAGCCACCCACTGGGTGGGAGTTGCACTGCATAAACACAACACACGTGCATCTAGGTATGTAAATTGTAAAGCATTAAAACATGGTTTTACTAACAGTTTTCAGTATGTTGTTACTTCGGCATTATTATTATTATTATTTTGAAACGTGTATTACTATTAAATCACGGTCAAATAGGTTAATTTTGACATAGTCGTTTCCACCACAGTATTTACATGGAGAAGATAAGCCCCGCCCCCTCTCCAGCACGTTCTGTTTGAATGACAGGAGTAAACAGCTGACAGCCGCTGTGAAACTCCAGCGGTTAGAGCGATGAGAATGTCCGTTCGGCACCTCATGACGCATCTACTGAGTACCGGGCGGCTGTATATATATATATGGATGTATAATAAGAACGGCGGGAGAGTGTTGAGTACTGGCACGGTGCATGAGTACCGGAGTACCGCCAGCATGCCGGTACTGAGCAAGAAGTGCCGGTACTCCATGGGTCAGAACCAGAAGTGCCGGTACTGCGTACCGGTGAGTACCGGCCCAATTCCAGCACTGGCCACCAGTGGCAGTGCCAGGGTATGGCTGGGGTAGGCTACACCCATACCAAGAAATGGCTTATCCCCACCATGAAAAATGATGTTAAAGTAAGCAAAATAAAGTCTGCCAACTCGCGCGGAGTAAATTGCACAGACAGCAGTTAGTAAGATTGATTTCAGTAGCCACGGTTTTGAAAACTTTTGTCACGTAGTGATCGTCTTCTCAATAGAACATCTTTGATAACGGCGTGGTGTTGTTGCAGGAAGTCCCGACGGAGAATACTTTTGCTGTAGTACAGGGGTGCACATAACTGGTACGCAGGTTATGTGCGTAATCTGAAATGCGTACCGTCACTTGTGTCACAAAGCGCATTTGCGTACCGACGTACTTGTGAAGCTTTTCCAGAAGGCGGTTAGATCACCGGACGACAGAGTCGGTCTCCGTGTGCACAGACAGGGCTGCTGTTAACGTCGGTCTGTTCAACGGAATTGTGCCAAAACTACGCCAACCGGCTGCGGACGGAGACTTCCCCCCCCCCCCCCCCCCCCCCCATTCACTGGAGAACTGCGCTAAAACAGCTGATCACAACGTTCACACTCTGTGGTCACAACGTACTCCACTAGCGCGCCCCCCCCCTCTGTCGACTTTCCTGAAGTAGAAATCAACACGTAATGAATTAAGACCCCACGGTTTGATGATTGATAGGTGTGTGTGGGTTGTCTTTCATTTTGACACGCAGAAAAATGTTATAATAAACATAGATACTGTATGTTAAATGGATATATCCGCCTTCTTTCATTTATCTTTCCATTCCCACAACAATATACATAAATAAATGGCATATTTTGGACATAGTTCGAATGGTGATTAATCATGATTAATTAATTTTTAAACTGTGATTAATCTGATTAAAATTTGTAATCGTTTGACAGCCCTACAAAATACCCATGACAGATGCACCAACTGTCATGGGAGAACAACTTCCTCTTTAATGTTCCTCTTCGGATTTGAATCATGAAAGTCACATTTTGTTTTCAAAACTCACATCACATGCACCAACTCCATGTGATGTTTATAGTGTAAACTCAGTTTTAAAGGTCCCATCTTTTGGCCATTTTTACTGATCATATATATATTGTTGAGGACTACTAGAATAGATTTACATTGTTCAATGTTCCAAAATCACATTGGTTTTCTCATACAGCATCTCTGTATAGTATCTCTATTCACTCTCTGTACACGCCTTGTTGGAGATCCTGCCCCCCCGAGCCCAGTGTGCTCTGATTGGTCAGCTGGCCCACTCTGTTCTGATGAGTCCACCACCAGAGAGGCTTCGCCCCTGTCTAATAGAGTGCTTTCCCAGCCTTCCCGTTACAGCTGAACATCAGTTTTTATGTTTTACAATGGCGTCGGTTAGGAGCCAGGAAATGACAAACAGATGAGAATGCATGCATAAAGTCTAAGTGCCATGTTAGCGGGACATTACGGAGCTCACGAGTCCGCGCTGTGAGGCATGAAGAGCGGACAGTGTGAGGTGGATTTACTGGTGTAATTTCCCCTCACATTTCAGGGCAGAGTACTGTCTTGACATGATTGGATACAAATTTGAAGTGAACCTTTCAGCCTTCCAACAGTACATGTCTGGCTGGCAGAGGGTGGGCCTATTGTTCTATAGCTGTGTGCCAATTGGTCCAGATGTACTGACGTCAATAGGCCCCGGAAGAAAAAAATTGAAAAATAAAAATCTCCAATGAGGCGTTCTGGGGCAGCACAGACAGGTATTTTCTGTGTTCGAGTTTTACTCGCTACAGGGTGTACTTTGAGGGTTTGTGACTATGCAGATCGTTTACATGCAGAAAAACCTTCATAACACACAAGGGGACGGGTGATAACCAGAAAAGCATGACATGGGACCTTTAAAGGAACTAGATTGACCTCATTGTCTTTGAAACTTAAAAAAAATCAGCAGAACTGTTAAACAATAACACTATTCAAGCGGAAAATGAATGTCATCGAGTATGAATGGAAATAGGAAAGTCCCCTGTGTAGCCAAGTATAAAACAACCTTTTATAAGATAAGAAGAGTGCGTCATATAGTTGTATATAACATTACATTTAAAACCTATATCCTGTGAGATTGAGAGAGATAAATACACTTCCTGAATTTCATTCATTACTGTAAACTTTATACACATGCCCTTTTGTTTTACTTCAGTTTATTTAAATATAATATAAAAGCAAATAAAAAAACGTACTCTTTAACATTCCTCTTTGGATATAAAACACAAAGCACCAAATGTTTAAATTTAAATTAAATAGACTAAACATGACCCACAAGATTACAGATATCATAGTGACAATAGGCGCTTTCACATACTTTTCCCCGGAACTTTTATTTGCTGGAACTATCTAGTAAATCGCGTTCACATAACATATAAGTCCCTGAGGGAGGATTAGGCAAATGAAGCCGCTGACGTCCTTTCTTCTTCTTCTGCTTTGGGTTTACTGGCAGGCCGCAAAGAACTTCACGGCGTATACTGCCACCCAAAGTCCCCGGCCCGGAAGTCCCCGGAGTTGGGGACTGGCTTCAGTAGAAGCTGCTGGGACTCCCAGCAGCTTCTACTGAAGCCTTCCGAGTAAATCCCCAGAACGCCGACACCTCCTCATCTCCACCGCTCCCATGTTTTCTTTTGTGTTGCCATAAGTTATTCTCTCTCTGTTGGTGCGCGGGGCTAATGCTAATAAGAGCAAATAAAATGGCCGCTTCACAAACACTTTTCAGAGTTTTACGGGGCGTGGTTTGCAATCCGCCCAGCCAATCAGAAATTAGAACCTTTTCCTCCCCAGGAAAGTACCTGCTCTCTAGCAGGGACTAAAAAGGGGTGAAAAGGTTCGCAAAAAAAAGTTATAGTTCCAGATCTTTTTGGTGTGAACGTAAAATCCCAGGAACTATCGGAACTATTCCTGGGAAAAGTAAGCCGGGGTGAAAGCGCCTATTGTTTACTAAGTGGTGGAAGTATATTCACTCAAGTACTGTACTTAAGTACAATGTTGAGGTACTTATACTTAACTTGAGTATTTCCATTTTATGCTACTTTGTACTTCTACTTCACTACAGTTCAGAGGTTGCACAATGACTACTTTTAAATTTGGTACTTTAACTATATTTTGATGCTGATACTTTTCTAATTTTACTTGAGTAACATTTTGAATGCAGGACTATTACTGTAACAGACTATTCCTATACTCTGGTACTTCTACTTTCACTCAAGTACAAGATCTGAGTACCTTTAAAGTGGAAAAGTATTATCATCAAAATATAGTGAAAGTAGCGACAGTAAAAGTAGTCGTTGTGCAGATTGGTCCATTTCAGAATAATATATATGATATGTTTTATAATGATTGATCATGAAAGTGTTCTCAAAGCTGGTGAAGGTGCAGCTAGTCTGAATGACTTTGTATACTGCAGGGTAGCTGGTGGATTTACTCCAGGTGGAACTAAAGTCTGATTCAACACTTGATTAGATTTCACATCATTCATCCACATCTGTGAAGTAACTAAAGGGATTAAATACATGTAATGGAGGAAAAGTACACCATGTACCTCTGAACTGTAGAGGAGTAGAAGTACAAAGTAGCAAAAAACAGAAATACTCAAGTAAAGTACAAATATATCAACATTCTAAGTACAGTATGAGTAAATGCACTTACTTTACACCTCTGTATTTAAGTAGCCTAACTATACCAAAAGGGACGTTTTTTCCCGTTTTTTAATTACTTCAGTTACAGCTTCTTAAATGTGAAGATTTCAAATAGTTGTTGTTGTTGTTGTTGTTGCAATGACTACTTTAACTCTTTAAGTACATTTTCCTAATCGTACTTACATATTTTTGCTTAAGGAACATTCTCGATGCAGTATTTCTAATTGAAATTGATTATTTATTTTGTTTTACAGTGTATATTATTGCTTTTAATCAAACAAAGAATCGGAATACTTTTCCACCATCGTTTACATTACTGAAGAAGATAACATAGTTTACTACAATGTAATGTTTCTTTAAAGATGAATATCGCTTGCTTTCAACACTACGGAAACACATTGTTGATCTTACCGGCAGCAGGTGGTGAAAAAAGCCAAAGAACGACGAAGATAAAGCGTAATTTTACAGGCGAGGGTGAAACACTGTAGAACAGCCCATCACAGTCCATAATAATGTGTGTAATAATCCTGCAGACAGACAGAAAAAACCCCACAGACTTTACTGATGTATAATGCTTTACTGGCAGAGCATTTTAAACAAAGACCAGGAAAAAGAGGGAGTTTCCCATCTACGCCATGGCAACGCCCCAATTCTGTTAGAACGATTCCCCCCCCCCCCCCCCCCCCCCCCCCCCCCCCCCCCCCCCCCCCCCCCCCCCCCCCCCCCGAAACTCTCAATAAACGCCTGGCTCTTAAAGAAAATATCGATCTATGGATATATTCCTCCTGAAGCCAAAAGAGATGAGCTAACAGCAGCTGATTTAATACCACACAGGGCAGCAGAGCAGACAGTGGCAGTAAACTAGCTCCGGTCATTTATTTCTGGTCATAATAATTTGTTATGTTAATTCCATTCAAAACACATATATTGAATTCGTTCACTTGCAGTGCAAACATTAAACCAAAGTAATGCGTTGTTATTAATATTTATAAGCTAGTAGTTTAATAGAAATGTTCTCCTTAAGGGATAGACATAATAGCATCAAAGCAGTAACATGTCCCGCAAAAACCTTGTTGTCCCACATGTTGCTTGTTGTCACCTGATCACCCTAGCTAGCGCTATCAGACAGGAGTTTACCAACACTAGCACACACACACAAGCGAGCACACACACACAAGCGAGCACACACACACAAACTCATTCTAAAAGATCTTTGAAGGAATCAACTGCAGAGCGTCAATCCATCCACCCATCCATCTTCTCCCGCTTATCCGTGGTCGGGTCGCGGGGGTAGCAGTTCCAGCAGAGAGCCCCAAACTTTATTTTCCCTGGCGACATCAACCAGCTCTGACTGGGGGATCCCAAGGCGCTCCCAGGCCAGCGAAGAGATATAATCCCTCCACCTGGTCCTAGGTCTACCCCTTGGTCTCTTCCCAGCTGGACGTGCCTGGAACACCTCCCTAGGGAGGCGCCCAGGTGGCATCCTAACTAGGTGCCCGAACCACCTCAACTGGCTCCTTTCGACGCGAAGGAGGAGCGGCTCAACTCCGAGTCCCTCCCTGATGACCGAACTTCTCACCTAAGGGAGACACCAGCCACCCTGCGGAGAAAACCCATCTCGGCCGCTTGTATCCGCAGAGCGTCAATTGTTTGCATTAATACGCGCCTTTTCTTATCTACAAGGAGCCCAATTAAGATGGTCAGGTAGGCACATTTAATTTGAATTTTGTTTAATATCAGAGGGGTAAGAAGTAACTTGTACAAAATATACTTAAAGTACCAACATGGAGATGACAGCAATAACACTGTGCGCTATCTTCACCGAGTATATGTGCATTTATTATTCAGACTTTACAAGACTAATGTGCATTTTTGCTAATGAGTACCTTTAACTTCAGCATTTTATTTTTCCTTTTGTCAGGTCTTGTCTTTTAACTGCAAACCATGGATACACATAAAAAACCTGAAACTGAAATCACTTTTAAAAACTCAACCTTTTCTCATTTATTTTCAGTGATTTTTAGTTAGTTTTATTTTCTGGGTGTTTTACATTTGTCCTGTTTGTGTGTGAAAGCAAAGGTGCTTTATGAATAAGCCGTTTTTTTATTATATTATTGTGACGGTTTTATTGAATCTACATTGTGTTCCTATTTTGAGAAGTATAGCCAATAAATAAATAAAACCCCATTCTTTACAGCACTTCCAAAAACTTTAACTTACAATATATAACTCAGATAGACAAGCAAAACCAACAACATCTCCTCTGTTATTGTCAATTATATTTGCCTTTTTCAAATTAAATGACACCACACTATATAGATCTGTTATGACCACATTACATATTTTTTCATATCGCTTTAAAAGTGAATTTGTGGTCTATTTTCGGAGAGGACAATAGAGAACCGCAGTGACGCGTCCTAAAACAATTTCTCCATAGGATTTTGGAAAATAGCTCCAAATAAGGTCTGTGGTTGAAACACATTGAAGAGACAGATCACGTTTTGTTCTACGACATTAAATCCATCAGCAGTGACCCCGCTGGTGATTTCTGAAGAGTTTACGTGTCTGAAAAACGATGGTTGTTACCAAGTGGGTGAATAGGACTACAGAAGTTGTCCAGGCCGTTTTACGTCATTACACCGAACACGTAAACATTCCTCTAAGTTTGTTTGCCCTGTTCTGCTTGAAAGCAAGTTCCTGCCTCCTGCAAAGTGTTCAAACAAACGCTTCAACTTGTACCATTTATAATCTGTATGTTTGAATATGGATCTTAAGTTGGCGTGACGTTGAAGCAGCGACACTGCTGTAGTTCGTTTATAGCATAACGTTAGCATTTTGCTTCTGGCGACTAGATTTATTATCAGAAAATTATAAAAGTAGGATAGACATGTGGAGATTATCCGGCTGAACAAAACGTGATCCGTCTCTTAAATGTGTCTCAACCAAAGATCTTATTTCCAGCTATTTTCCAAAATCCTATGGAGAAATTGCATTGCGTTTTTGACGAAGGAACCGGAAGGAGTTTACTTCCGGGTTTTAGGACGCGTCACTGCGGTTCTCTATGGGTGACATCAATAATGACATTAACACCTAGAAGCTTTCTAATTTCTCTAATTCCCCTCCTCGACTCCTATCCTCGTGTCTTAGTCCCGCCCATAGGACATGCGAGCGGAGGAGTCGAGGAGGGGAACCGAGGAGAGAGGAGGGGAAGCAGCAGGCGTTTACAGAAATTAGAAACCTTCCTTGTAACACCTGCGCTTCCCACCAGGAAGTATCTCAGTATCAGTTTAATGTTTAAACAGCCTAACAAGTTCTTTATTTATGTATTGCTAATGATTTACTCCTGTTACATTTTCTCGCTAGAACCTCCACCATACCTGTTCGGCAGAACCTGTTTACGTAAAGCATCTGGAGTGTTCATTTAAAAGCAGGTAGATTGAAAGTTAATTTACATTTTCTATGCGGAGAGTTAGATGACAAGATATGAATCTATAACCAGCCATGAAAGTGGTATCAACCAAAACAACTTCCACTAACTTGTCTTTCTTAAAACGTTCCCTTTCATCACAAATGGTGCTACTGGGTTGGTGCTTACAGTCCCTCAATGTCCTGACTTGAACATCACCAAATCAATACTGACCTGAATATGAAAAATAAAAAGTCCCTGGCTCTGTCTCTGTCATGCGAGACGAATGAATAGTTGTTTTTATTTAACTCTGACACCAAGGACATACTGTGGAGGAACAAAGCCAATGTATTACCAGGAAGCTTTTTGTATGTTGGAACTTTGAGAAAACAAATGTCAATATTTCCTAAAGTGTGCCAAGTTTCCTCTTTCACTAATACTTAGACAGGATGGGAGTGGCCTCGGTGGTCAACACACCTTTATATAAAATATAAACCAAATGGTAACCTCTTCACATAAAACATGACGGATCATTTACTACTTTTAATTTATTAAATAAAAACAACTAGCAACTGCATCTAAACACTGTTAGTGGGAAAATGGACAGGAATGGATGTTTGATAAAATGCTCAGCTAAGATGCTTAGATGATTTCTAAAGACTGGTGGTATGTTTTTTGTCACCTTTATTCTGATCATGTTATAAATTCACTGGCTCTAAACACTTTCCATGTGTAGGTTTCGCCCAGTGTGTAACATAGGTGATATCTGGGCCCATAGATCTCGGCCTCCGTTACGGGTTGTATAGCTTCATTGTTGGTGATTGTGTTCACCTGGTGCCCTGTGTTGTCTCCTCCCCCCTCACCTGTGTCTTGTTGGTTTGATTAGTCGGGGTGTATTTAGGCTCTGTTTTTCCTGTTTGCTGGGGTGAGATCCTTGTGGCTGCTGACTGTGTTCAGGACAGTCATATTGAGGCTGTGTCATGTACCACAATGAGTAATAAATGCCCACACTGGGTTGTATTTGGGACGTTCTGCCTTTGCCTCCTTGCTTGGTCGGGCCGCTCACTTGTCAGCTGTTTTTCTTTAATAATGAAACAAATTTGCACTTCTTTGGATGCAAGGAAAGTTTATTTTGCATAGTTGTGTTCCAACAAATTCTAAATGCGAACAGAAAGCATGCAATATACATTCAAAATCACATTGAGGAGTAAAATAAAGGTAATTCAATCCTCCTAATTAAGTCAAGTCCACTAGCTGAAGGACTTTTCATTTTAAGGAAAGCACAGCGGCTCAGCATAAAGCCCCAACAAGAGTTTGAGGAGGGTCAAAATTGTCAACATCCTAGTGCAAAAACACCTGCTAGTTTTCACTCTGGTATTGGGATAGCACCTGGTAGTATGCTAGGACATTCTGGTAATAGTGAGAAACATATACTTGTGTCAGAGTCGGACACAGGATGGAGGTATTTGAAAGAGGAAGAGGAGGATTGTCCATCATCTGAGGCCTTGAGGTCCGAGGAGGAGCTGAAGGGGAAGGCGGACGATGAGTGGAGATGACGCGATAAGCCATTGAAGTCGGAGTACTTGTGGAGTTTGACGGAGAAATACTGGATGTTGGAAGAGATGCATTGGTGGTTTGAAAGGTACCTGTGCTCGTTTGATTTGGAGAAAATCTGAATGTGGGATTTGAAAAGGTAACGTTGTTGCTGGAAGGAACAACAGTCGAACTGCTCTGAGGCGTTGGAGAAGTTAATGGCTCAGTAGTCATTTTTGCAAGGGTAGTAGCAGCTGATGCTAATGTAGGATGACGTTCAGTTGAGTTTGAAGTGACAGTAATGCCACTAAGTGTGGGGGTGGCAGTTTGAGGCATTGCAGAAACTGTAGAAGTAACTAATGGAGGATTGGCGGAAGTGCTTTCCTCAGAAACAGCTGTTTGAGTGGTTGCTATGGCTGCACTGATGGAGGGGGTTGATGTAATGTTTTTCAATTTATATGAAAAACGTACTTGGCTATAAATCTTGATTCTGATTTTAACAGAAGTGTACATATTTTAAAAAGGTAAGCTACATACATGTTATATTGCATTGTATGTTGCAAAGATCCCAAGATTCATTAAACCATTTTATGTCATTGCTGTTTTAAAATGTTGTGTTGTCTTATTGTGCCCCCTGGTGCCCGCATTTGAAATACTGGTGCCATTATAGTCTTATTAAGGGAAGTGTGTGCTTAGAAAGTCATTTT